TACAACCTGTATGAGAAATTGGTCTAGAAATTGTACTACTTGGAATTTATCCTAAAGACATCCTAGGAAAAAATATAAAATATTCTCAGAACATTGTAGCATAAATTGTCATATTAATAGGCTGGAAATAACCCAGACGTCCACCCGCAGGGACGTCAGTATGGTGTACACCCACACAATCAAGTATGCCAGTGTGGAAAAGAGAGGAAGAGCTATGTCAACTTTTAATGAGGCTCTCTAGGCTATCTTGTCAGGTGGTTAAAATAAGGTACAGGGAGAATGTGTGTGTTTTTTCCCCTAAGAAAGGAGATGGAATATGAATACATGCTTATATGTATGCTAATGTTTTCACAGAGAAATAATGGAAGATGAAATTAAAAAAGCTAATAAAAATGATCATCTATAGTAGAAAGGAAGTTAGACTTCTCTGACTATTCCCTTAACAAAAAGTTTTTGACTTTGAGATGTGAAGATGATGTGTGTTGATATAAACAAAGAATCTATCTAAAGGAATCTCAAAATCAAAACCTACCTAGTGAGCATGCAGGCATTGGTACTATTTAACACTTTTAGCTCTGTGTCTGATTTTCATGCACTGTCTCATAGATTTCACAATAAAAACTATAAAGAAAGAGAGCTTGTAGTCAGTACATAAAGAAACCTTATAGAATCTAATTGCCAAAGGTGTGTTGGGATATCCATGGAATTAGTGCTCAGTTAGTCTCTCTGTGTCTCTTTTTCTCAACTCCAAAGTCCCTTTCTCCTTCTCTTTGCTTGAAAGCATCATTTTCCTGCTCTGACAATTGTCTTTTCTGCTCTTACATCATCTATGGACTTTTCCTAGATAGGAGGTTCAGTCTCTGACCCAACAAAGGCTCTACATAGTCTGCTTTGGTCTCTGATACCAACTCCAGATTTTTGGGAAGAGAACTGGACTGACTCTTGGGCAGGTGTTCACCCAATACCAATGTAGTATAGCCAGCAAGCTATACTTTGGTCATCAGACCTACCCCTTCCAAGGCTGTGGACAGGAGGAAATATTAAGAAAGGGTTGTAAGCTCCTCTAATATAATGTTGTCTATAATGGTGGAAGACTGAAACAATCTCTAGCTCTAATAATGGAGCTCTGGGTATTTGGCACAACCCATGGGATAATATTGGTCATTTAAATTATGATATAGCCCTATTTTAATGGACCCTGGACAATGTTCATAAATGTTTAATAATATTTGATGCGTGCAAACTTATGTATATATAAGCATACACACACATATAATTCAAAGTTCAGAATGGGGAGATATGATTGGAAAATTGCATTAGACAAGGGTACTTTTAAAGCACTAATCATTAGTCTAGTTGGTGAGTTTGCAAACAGTGGTATTGTTATTAAAGACTTTAGTTCTGTGTCTGCTTTTCATGCATTGTTTTGAGCAGGTGTTCACAGTAGAGATATAGATAGATGATAGATATTATGTATTTGCACACACACAATGAACCCTGGTATGAATGGAAACTATGGAAAATAATGGAAGGAATGAGCATGGTTATCTTTGACTAGTGGTGTTAAGATTGGTTGGTTTTTTGTTTCTGTTTTTGCTTTTCTATGGATATATTCTGTGATTTTTCTATACCAAATAATGGGTTATTTCAATAATAAAAGTTTGGAATTGTCAATGCAATATGTTTTTTTTTAAAGATTTATTTATTTATGCATACAAGAACTGGGGTATAAGCCAGAGTTGTGGGGGGTGAGAGGATTCACCAGAGACAGAGTAGGGAGCAGAACAGGCAGACTGACTGAAATACACTGCTGAGGGGAGCAGTGGGCGAGTCGGGAGAGGTCTGCTGCGCCATGTGGGTAACTCCCTGGCCAGGGATTGAACTCATTATGCAGTGGCTGCGGCGAGCTTCATAGGTTGCATCTTAACCCCTTGAACCACCAGGGAGGCCCACAAAATGTTTTCTTAACTATAATTTGCTCTACAATGAGCAAACCACTTGTTATTGTAATTTCAAAAAGTTAATTTCAAATAATATGAAGACATAAAGTCCTGCACTTAAGTGAAAAGTGAATTATTTTCCAAAAATGTGTTTTAAAAATAGAGCATAGGAGAGACTGAGCTTAGAATAGGTTTATTTTCATAGGCCTAGGAGATCTTGATTGACTTATTTAGTCCAATAAGCAGAGTTTGCAGTGAAGAAAATCTAGTGCCTAGTTAGAGTATTATGCCTAGAAATGTCATGTCCCTATTAAGAGATGTCACTCGGCGTGCTCTGCGTGGATTAGAACACCTAAAAAGTTGTCTGTTTTAGTGCCTGACTTTAAGTTAGAGGTCATCTAAGGAGTGACTGAGAGAGCTTGGGAAAGAACTTGCAGAAATGTGATTTCAGGCTCTAAGTACTGGAAAGGCTATTGTGGGAGGAGTAGTCAAAGAGCAGAATTGATTGGGAAGCAGATTTTACTTAGGTCAACGTCGGGAAGGTTTTTCTATTATTATCGCTGGGGGAGAAGGACTCTACAGAGTGGTGGAGACTGGGGTGCATCTGACTACTGTCTAGACTCAGTCCCTTGCTTGGGAGGTGTAAAGAAAGCCTCAGTCCTCCTGTTTCTCCTTGACTCTCATACTGTGACCACACTGTGCTAGCCACACCGACAACACTTCTGATATCAGATGGGTGGGTTTTTCCCCCTACACCTAATCATTCTGTGGCACTATAATCTCTAGCTAGAGATAGCATCAGATGTCACAGGTTAAAGACACACCTCACCAGACTGACCCCTGCTTCAGAGGCCAATTAAAAGCAGGTCTCCTGGTTACACACAACTTCTGTCTAATGTGGCTACAAATTGGAGGTTCCCATGATGTCTTCCCCCTTGAATCCAGTTATTTGCTGGAACAACTCACAGAACTCAAGGAAACACTTATATTTATGAAATCATTAAAGGGTATGACAAAGAATACAGATGAGCAGTCAGTGAAGAGAAATACAGGGTGAGATCAGGGAGGTTCTAGGCGGGGCCTCCTGCCCCCATGAAGTTGGGTTACTTCACCCACTGGGTATATGGGTGTGTATCCAACCTGTAAGCTCCCTGAACCTAGTACTTCTGGGATTTTTTTGGAGGTTTCATTATATAGGCATGATTGATTATTAACTCCTTTTCCAGCCCCTCTCTCTCTCTGGACAGTGGGAGAGTGGGGCTGACAATCTAAGCTTTGAATCATGGTTTGGTCTTTGTGGCTATCAGCCCCCACTCAATAACCTACCGAGAGTCACTTCACTAGGAGAAAAGACACGGCTGTCACAAAGGAAATGCCAAAGGATTTAGGAACAGTGTGTCAGGAGCCAAGGGCAAAGACCAAATATTAGAAGAAAAGATGCTTCCGGCGTTCTTATTGCTTAGGAAATTATAAGGGTTTTTGCAGTTCTGTGCAAGGGGAGAGACCAACCTTTGTTTTTTCTACTATGTCATAAGAGGAAAATTGGGTGGCATAAGCTTTAAGGTCTACCTTGTGAGGGTGTGAATTGATGGAAAAAAATAGATATTATTCACATGCCAAAAAATAACACTAAATTAAACTTAGATCATAAATAATTTGCCTGTCCTTTTTACTTTTATGTTGCTACCAAAGTCTGAAACTTCCAGTGTTAGAGGTTTACTTTATTAAATCATATTTTGTATGCAGAAGTGGACTTTGGGCTTCAGCATCTTGCTGTCTTAACTAGAAGAGGTTGAAAAGGGATTTTTAATTTTTTTTTAAATTTTTTACATCATTATTCATTTTTAAACAATATTTGCCCCCCCCTACCCCCTCAGGTGTAGTCCCTAATGCACCATCACCTCAGTCCCCTGTGCTCCTCCATCCCTTCCTCCCTCTGATCCCTCTCCCACCATCTCCCCTGTAGGATGTCTCTGGTTTATAATTGTCTGTTTTTGCTTTGTTGTGTTTTGTATGGTTATTATTTTTTTACACTGATGTCTTACTTGGTTCCCCTATATTCCTGCTATAAGTGAAACCATCCGATATTTTTTTTCCTTCTGGCTTATTTCACTGAGCATAATTCCTTCTAGCTACATCCATGTTGCTGCAAATGGCATGAGTTTATCTTTTTTGATTGCTGAATAATATTCCATTGTGTATATATACCACATCTTCTTGATCCAGTCATCAATTTTTGGGTATTTGGGTTGTTTCCAGGTTTTACCTATTGTAAATAATGGTGCAATATACATAGGGGTACAAGTGTTCTTTTGAATCAATGTGAACAGGGTTATTTAAATGCAGGGAAACATGTGCTTAATGAGTGCTCCTGGAAAGGTCGAGAAAGTAAACCACAGAACTCAGTTGCACCTGTGATTATGAGTGTGCCTACCTGGCTTTGAATTCTGTCTCTGTGCCTTAAGGTTTCCTTACCTGCAAAATAGCAATGATAATACCAGCACAAGCATGTTGTGAGCCTGGGAACATGGCCTTCAGTAAGCATTTCCCTTAATTACTCCTTGAGGACATCTTGCAGTTATTTAATAAATCATTAATGAATCATTAGTGAATGGGGGAGTTAGTAAAGGAATAAAATTACAAAAATCCTTTACCTGACTCTGGAAACAGTGACGTGCGCTTACTGCATGCAGAGGTGGTGCTCTGTATGCTGGCACTGAAGTCCAGTCTATTTAGTCCTAGATCCCAGCTCTGCCCTCTCTGTTCTGCCTAATTCAACCATTTGCTTTTTGAGAAATATTATTCTTGAACTAGGATTAATTCTGACTTACTTTGAAAAATGACTTTTTTTTAATGACTGGGTTGTGGCTGTCTGAAAATCCTTGGATGTGATGATTTGAATAATTTATGACTAGGTCTCCCAGAGTATAAAGCTTATGCCCAGAATATTTTTGGAAAGAGAATTGATTGCAACTAACAGATTTAAAAAAAAAAAAAGATACAAGATGGTTATGATTGCATTACTCTCAGATATTGAATTTTTCTTTTCATGTTTTTTAGAGAGTGAAGATCTGGAAAACACCAAGGTCACCTCTCCAGTGGTTTCTGCCCCTGATCCAGAACCCCATTCCTCACCTTACAGGTAGGAACAAACAACTGCTTTGGATAAAAATGCTTCGAAAGAGTTTTCTTCTGAGACAAGGAATTGGAGAAACAAGTGGACAGTGACTTTAATGTGGAAGATAAGTTGAAGCGAAGGGTATGGATGGTTTTGCCATTAATTAATCAACCCTTTATGTTTGGGCATCATGTCAGATGTATTTCAGGTTGTAAAATTTTCTTTTACTCTCAGAGCGTAAACCTGTAACACATAGTGTAGTGCCTTCATCTACTCCGGAAGACCGTGGTCAAATGTTAAGACATTTGAAATGGATCCCAGGTAGACTTTCAAGAAATTGTGTGGTTGGTTTTTACCCATAAAATGCGCGCATGTGCACACACACACAAACACACATGCACACACACAAATACACTGTGGGAGGCAGTACTTGATTATGGAGGACCCTCATGTTGTCATTCTTAATATCCCTCTGTGACCATCTCCTTCACGCAGCTTCACTGGCAGGCGTGTCAGTGATGGGAAGACTTGTATTGAGGCCTGGAATGAGTGGAAACCATGAAATATTAATGGAATAATTAATGGAGAGCACTTCGCTCATGCTTATCTCGTGCAGTAGAGCAGCTCGTGGTGCAGTGTCGTCCTGCAGAACTTGTGGTCTTTGTGCCCCACACAAAGTTGATGTCTGGGGTTAAGGAGGGAGTCAAGATTTAAAAACATCTGTTACTTCTCGAGTAGAAATTCTGTCTTCTTACCTTTGTATCTGAAATAAAACTTCTTTTCTCCCAGAATTCAGATGATGGAAGACAAGAGTGATTAATGTAATTACAATGCTATTGCTGATAATAATAGCTACACATTATTGAGTGTTTCTCTGTAATAATGATAATAAAATATTTACCTCTATGAAAGCTATTGGATTTTGGCACAGAAATGTTTTTTCCTCCTAAGAGTAAAAAGCATTTTTTTTTTTAAAGATTTATTTATTTATACAAGCACTGGGTACAGTCAGAAGCACGGGAGGGTGAGAGAATTCACCAGAGCTGGGAGCAGAGCAGGCAGAAGGACCGAAGTACACTGCTGAGGGGAGCAGCGGGCGGCAGGCGAGGTCTGCGCGCCATGTGGGACCCTCCTCCGGTGGCCGGGGAGCAGCCGGGGATCGAACCAGCGCTGCAGAGGCCGCGGGCAGCTTCGCAACCCAGCGCTCAACCGCTGCGCCACCGGGGAGGCCCAGAGTTTTTTAAAAAGCATTTTTGAGTAAGGAGCATAGAACATTTCTCTTACAAAACGGGATTTAATTTTAAAGTTTTGTTTCTAAAATCTAGTGTGTGGAGAAAAAAAAATCCAGCCAGTATGATCCCTGCAGGTCAGTGTCTGGGTTTTGGGTTTTGTGTGTGATACTGGAATACCATGCTAGGTGTAAACATGTTTTATCTCATTGAATCCCCAAATGACCCTAATGAAAGCAGTGTGCCTTTTTTCTTAAGACGTAGAAAATGCAACTGAATTCAGTTGTTTGCCTGAGTTCACACAGCTTTAGGTTTGTTTGACTCTAAAACTTATTCTCATGAGTAGCAGTGGAAGGGATTTTTTGCCTTCTATGCTTGGAGTTACCAGGTTATTATATGCAGCAGTCCATTTAGAAGATACAGTTTCCTCAAGGCTTTGGTTATTGGAGAGAATTCAAATACTCTGAGAACCCTCCATCTTCTCGCCACCTCCCTTTTTCTGCACCTGTTGATTTGAAGGATCTTTGGGGAATGGATTTTGGCACAGAACTGTTTTTTCCTCTTAAGAGTAACATTTTTGAGTAAGGAGCATGGAACATTTCTCTTACAAAACAGGATTTAATTTTAAAGTTTTGTTTCTAAAATCTAGTGTGTGAAGAAAAAAGTCCAGCCAGTATGACGCCTGCAGTTCAGTGTCTGGGTTTTGTGTGTGATATTGGAAATGGCAACGGGACAGCTCTGTCCTTTCTGGTGGCGCTGGCTGGCCAGGTTCTCCCCGCCGTCTGGGATGGCTTCCCTGCTCCCGGTCAGCACAGACCAGAAGGCTTACAGTGGAGTTTTCCTTTACGTGGTTTATCATCTGCATCAAGTGATTTGCAAGTTATCTTTCCCAAAATATCCTCCACTAATTCTTCAGAGCATAAAATGCTAATGTGAATATTAAATTTATGTGACTATTGCTTGTCCTGTTTTAAAAAATTATAAGCAGAACCTTACTTGTGCAAAATAGAGTGCACCAAGCAAAGCAGAGACTAAATTTTTGATGCCATATACAGTAAGATCAGGCTAATGGTCAGATTAACTGTTGTAGTCTCAAATTCCAAATATTGTAAATGGTAGTCTGATCCAAAATTCCACTTTAGGTGGAAAACAAATTATTGGCTTACTCATTTATTCATTCAACAAATATTTATTGAGTGTCTACTATTTGCTCATTCAACAGACATTTTTTAAGTGCCTGCTATGTACCTGGTACTGTTTCAGGCACTGAAGATACTGTACAGGAAAAGCTCCTGGCCTCACAGAGCTTATAGTCTAATGGGGAAGCAGGCAGAGCACAGGCATCCATCAGATTGCATCGGCTCTGTAGTGCCATCAACTGTAAAATGTGTTGTTATTTTTTACCATGAAAAAAGGAGAAAATACCCATGACAGAGTTTAGTGAGAGACACCCCGTCCCACATGGAACAGGGACCCCTAAACCTGCACCTTCAATGAAGAGAGAAACAGGAAAAATGCTTCCACACAGAAAAGGACAGCAAGGAAGCTTGAATGTCTCAAATTTGTGTAAGGAGAGAGAAGTCGTCTCTCCTGAGAATTTCAAACACAAGTCTGTAGTTACCAGTTTGTTGTGTAAATTCACTGTGCCATGGTGGTCTAAGCAACATCCTAAAACAGAATTTAATTTCAACTTATCTCAGTTGGTATGACGCCCAGGTGCTGGGAGAAGCAAATGCAAATCTCCTGTGGAAGGACTTGATGTCAGTGTAGGGCCATGGCAGTGTAGACACCAGCGACTTTGAGGATGTCTCATATTTCATTTGTATTAAAAACTGAAAACAAATAAGCATCTTGCAGTCAACACATATGGTAGGTGATGTGTTAGGCAGTAATAAGGGCAGTTAAGAAAGGACATCTGGGAGGCTGCCCGCAAGTGATGGCTGTGCAGAGGCTGAAGGAAGGGTGTTCTAAGGTTACCAGGGGAGAGTGTTCTAAGCGGGGCAATGACAGGCACAAAAACCTGCAAGTGGAAAGTGCCTGTGGAAGACTTGGGTATTCTGGGGGCCATTATGATGGGAGAGGACAGGGCAAGGCAAGGTGAGGTCATTCTTAGAGTTGAGGTCAGAGTGCAAAGGGCTTTGGGGTTAATGTGACAGGCTTGTCTGTGGGTGCTGTGCAGAAGGAGGGAATGAGACCCAGTTCCTGCAGTCTTCTAGTAGAGGAGACAGTCGTGTCAAGAATTAAAAAATGAACTATAATTACCAGGTTTAAGAGGATAGAATAGGCTTTTAGCCTAGACCAACTTACAGTTTACACAGGATTACCCAAACAAACCCACAAAAAGCAGCAGTGTCGCACAGCTCTGATTTTCTTTTTAAAAAAGATTTTATTTATTTTATTTTCGTGTAGAAGAACTGAGGTGAAGGCCAGAGGTGGAGGGTGAGAGGATTCACCAGAGACAGAGTGGGGAGCAGAACAGGCAGATCTACTGAAATACACTGCTGAGGAGCACAGCAGGCAAGACAGGAGAGGTCTGCTGTGCTGTATGTGGGGTCACCTCCCTGGCTGGGGACTGAACTCAGGCTGCTGGGGTGGTGGCACTGAGACTTAATCCCTAGGCCACCAGGGAGGCCCACTCTGGTTTTTTTTTTTTTTTTTTTTTTTTTTTTTTTTTTTTTTTCATAGTAACAGCCTCTTATTTATTTTGAGAATGGCTGGAGTGACTTGAATCCCCCCCCCCCAATAGTTCTGTTTTATCTGAAGAAGAGGTAATTTATAAACTAGGAGTGATGTTTCTTGCTTATGCTAAAAAAAGGAAGAGAGAATGGAAGGGCGGTGTGGGGAGAGAGTGAAGGAAAGGACAAGATCATGAAACAAACCAAATAGTAATTAGAATTATTATGAAGAAGTTTTGACTTAACAGACCCCCCAAAAGGGTATTTAATGACACTTGGGATCTCCAGAAGGGAGAAAAGAAGGAAGGAGGGCAAGAGGAACCAAGGAAGGAGCTCAGAAATTCCCAAATAGGCCCCCTGCTCCCCACTGTGGTTTATAGATCTATTTTCTCGTCACTTACTCAGCTCTTCTGAGGAAATGATGCCCTAAAAGTAGCGGCTCTCAGACCTTTTCACTCTTAAAAAATTATTGAGGGAATCTTGGTATATGTAGATTATATCTCTCAATGTTTACCATATTAGAAATTAAAACTGAAAAATCAGGCACTGTTCATTCATCTAAAAATAATAATAAGGAACTCATTACATGTTAATATAAATAAAATGTATCAAATGAAAAACAACTATTTTCCAAAGCAAAAATAATGCGTGGAGAGACATTGCAAATCTCTTTAATGTCTGGCTCACCTGGACAGTTGGGCCTCAGATCCGTATTCCTTCTGTGGAGCTCACATGTGAGGCAGCCTCTAGAAAACTCCACTGGTGTGGAGGATGGTGGGCCCGGCCTCTGAAGGTTGATTTGCCTTGAGTTTCTTCAGGACTGCTGTGTCTTTTTTTTTTTTTTTTTTTAAATGCTCGCCATCTCTTTTTTTTTTTTTTTCTTTAATATTTATTTATTTATTTATACATGCACCGGGTACAGTCAGAAGCACGGGAGGGTGAGAGAATTCACCAGAGCCAGAGCGGGGAGCAGAGCAGGCAGAAGGACCGAAGCACACTGCTGAGGGGTGCCGGGCGGCAGGAGAGGTCTGCGCGCCATGTGGGACCCTCCTGCGGTGGCCGGGGAGCAGCCAGGGATCGAACTGGCGCTGCAGAGGCTGCGGGCAGCTTCGGAACCCAGTGCTCAACCGCTGCGCCACCGGGGAGGCCCAGGACTGCTGTGTCTTAATAGAGTCCTTGGATTGACACTTTTTCTTCCTCTGAGAGGCCACAGATGGTATCTCCAGTGGGTGAAGATGTCACAGAAGATCTGCGGAAGGCAGCTGTGGAGGCTCAGGCCTTGGTGGAACAGGAATTGTCTGCAGACCAGGGCGAGGTCCTCAACAAGGTAGGAAGCGCGTGTTCGCTCGCTCTTAGGAAAGGAGGCCCTTGTGGCACCAGAACTTGGATATGTGTTGATGGGTTGGACTTGGAAGCACGGAATTCTCTTTGCTCTCCTTAGGATATCTCACTTTTAATTATTTAGAGAATGCTCATTTGTATTTTCCCTCGGGCCCATCCCTGTGGTAGCACCTGCTCAATAAATGAAGCGTTAAGAACAAGTAGTCAGGTGTTCCCTAAAAACTTCTCCATGTGAGGGGCCTCGAACCTTTGGACTGTGTCTCCGTCTCATTTTTCTCATGGCGGATGTACTCAGTATTTATGGCAGAGTCCAGAGAGGTGGTATTGATAGCAGTGGCCTCCCTGCACTGGAGTAACAGGTTGTTTATATAATTTATATATATATATATATATATATGTATATATATGTATGTATTAAAATAATAAGTGGTATTGGTATCAATAGAGATAATACCAAACATCATTACATTTGCATAAAGCTTTATAGTTCACAAGGCAGTTGGATCCACAACACTCTGTATTCCTGACAACAACCCTGTGAGGTATGTCTCCATTTTATAGGTGAGGAAACTGGGGTTAAGAGTTGTTGGTTGGTGACTTTACTAAGGCTGTGCAGCTAATAAGCCGTGAATGAAATACTTCGTTTAGACGTCTGGAAGAAGAAGGACTCCTTCAAGCAAGTTAACCAAAGTCTGATTCACCTCATTTAACAGTGGAGAGAAGAGCTGAAGGGCTTATTCTCCAGAAACGTAGTATGAGAATATAGTCTGGGAGGATTACAAAATGTTTTTACTAATTCATTTTTTGCGAATATAATTCTCATCCCTTACCTGAAATGCTGTGTCACTGATGTGCTCACCTGTATGGGCAGTAGCTATAAATTTCTTCTTGAGTTGCCTGCCAACTGCTTGGAGAAGGAGCAGGAAATTAAGGCTTAATTGCATGAAACAGGGCAACAGTAATCTCAGTGATTAGAAGTGAAACCCGCTAGGGAGAATTGGCAGGCTCCTTCTGTGGGTTAGCAAGGGCTCTGAGTAGCAAGAGACATTTGTACTCTTCGTGCAGGATAGACCTCGGGTAGCAAACAGCCCGTTCACTGCACACTCTGGGACCGGTCCAAAATGAAATTGTAGTTGTTTGTGGAACACTGCTGGGGGGTAGGACAACTGTAGGACGAGCCCTCCAGGGTGTGCCATGGATGAGAGGGACAAAGAGAAAAGAGAAAACAGATTCTCTCTCTGTGCAGTGCTTTGGTGAATTGACTGACAGTGGTCTGGAAGTAGCCCTTGAGTGGCAATGGTCGTAGGTGAGAATGTGGCAGAGTGGGAGTCAAGCTGGACTCCAGGGGCAAGAGCTGCCATGAGAGAAGCCCCAGAGAGGTGCTCTGCAGGCCAGGGGGAGACCAGGGCATGACGCTGAAAAGCCCCTGATGCCAAAGTCAGTAACAGGCTTTGACGATGTTCACAGGCAACGGTTTTTTACAAAGGGTCCGGAGTGGGGAGCTGCAAAATGTAGGGGAGAACAAGCGTCTTTGAAGTAGGGAACATTGGGATGACATGAAAAAAGTTAGTAGAATATATCAGCAGCCCGTGACTGGAGGAAGGCGGAGGAATGTTTGCCAGCATGTTAGGGAGAGTGGCAGTAACAGCATAGGGCTGAGCGGCCTTCGTTTGGAAAAAGATTAATTGGAACCTGCCATTCTGATATGTCCTCTAACCAGAATCCTGTCGTGCAGATGGCCAAGTACCAAGCCCCACAAAGGTCTGGGGACATCGTGATGATCCAGTCTGAGCACACAGGAACTATAGATATTCTCTCAGCGGATTTGGAATCTGCGGATCTTCTGGGGGACCACAGGAAAGGTGAGACCTTTGTGGGGGGTGGGAGGTGGACTTTTGGTTCCCCATGGGTGCTTAAAGGAAGTCAGGCAGATAAGATGCAAAGAAAGGAAGTGACGCGTGAAGGGTAGTCCAAGAAGCCAGTAGAGTGGATGTCTCTGACTGTGACCCACCTCCCTAGACAGCGCGCCGGGCGCGGCAGCCTCCCCTCTGCGCGTCTCGGTAGTAAACCGCCTGTCCTTTCAGTCTCCCCGCCTCTGATGGCACCTCCCTGCATCTGGACCCGCGCCAAGATGAAGGAATTCAAAAGCAGGCTGGGCAAAGAGAAGAACTGCCGCCTGGTGGTGAGGCGCGGCGAGGTGGTGACCGTCCGGGTACCCACCCATCCGGAGGGGAAGCGTGTCTGCTGGGAGTTCGCGACGGATGACTATGACATTGGCTTTGGCGTCTACTTTGACTGGACCCCAGTAACCAGCACCGACATCACCGTGCAGGTCAGCGACTCCAGTGAGGACGAGGATGAAGACGAGGAAGAGGAGGAAGACAGTGAAGGCAAGTCCAGCCTTGCGAGCTAAGCCCAACGGCGTGGCCAGAGCCAGGCCTCAGTGGGCACCTGGTGGGCTGGCGGTGGCACCTCCCCAGAAGCCCCCGCTTTCTCTCAGGACCTAGCTATTCACCTGGAACATCTCCTGGGGGCTGGCTGGGCGGGGAGGCGTCGGAAGGGGCTCCTGTGTAGAGAGGTGATATTTTTCAGTCACAGGTAAATCTGAGGTGGTTTCTTTTTCTGTCTCAGTTTGGGGCGTTTCCATTTCTTCTGGCCTAGACCCCACTGGGTGATTACAGTTGGCTAGCCGTGCCCATGCTTGCCCTGCTCCTCACTCACAGCTCACTGGCTGCTGTTTCCTTCTTTACTTCATGCCCAAAGCAGTTTAAAAAATAGTCTGCCGCCGTCCCAGCTGTCGCAGTCCCCCCTCAGGATGGCTCTGGGCCGATCGCTTGCATCTCACAAGCTTAGGTTCTGAGCTTTAGCCTTACTCCTTGATTTTCCTTCTATAATTTTAAAATCAATCCCTTGCTTCCTTCTTTATGGAAAAGCAAGTCAACAGGGAAGTCTTCAGGTGCTGGGGGAGGAGAACCTGATACCTGCTCTGTGTCTCTGTAGGAGGCCAAGCCGGGGGCTCCGTCTCTCAGCGCAGGCCCATGTCTGCGTCTCCCACAGCCACTGGTTCTTTCACCTGTTGGATGAGAGAGTATCAGAATCTTCCCTTCTGTAATAAATGTGTTTTCTGCCCCTTAGAAATGTCTAGACACTTTGGGAGCTGGGGAGGCTCTATAAGAACAATTGTTGTTTCTCAGTAGAGATGTTACTGGCACTTGGGGTGGGGTGCTTCTTTCTTGAGCAGGGTTTAGTGCTAAATGCCAGTATCACCCATTAGTCACGCCGATGACCCAGAGGCCACCAGACCATATGCCTGTTGGAGGGCAGTTAGTACCCCCACCCCTGCCGGCCGGGGAAGCCACTGGGCGTCCTGCTCCCTCTTCTACCTGCAGGTCAGATGTATTTGGTCTCTGAACTCATATCCAAACACTCATTTTGCTCATGCAGACCCTGTCCCAGTTGGAGATGTGGAGAGAGGCTCCAGGAGCTCCCTGCGGGGTCGCTATGGGGAAGTCATGCCCGTGTACCGGCGGGACAGCCACCGAGACGTGCAGGCTGGCAGCCACGACTACCCCGGGGAGGGCATCTACCTGCTCAAGTTTGACAACTCCTACTCCCTGCTACGCAACAAGACACTCTACTTTCACGTCTACTACACGAGCTGAAGGTTCACTGGGACGGGAGGCAGGCGGGTCTTGGCTGGCTGGAGCAGGCTGCCCGCTGGCGCCTCTTGCTGCCAAGAGGCCGGAGCTGAAGGTGGAGTGTGTGGCTCCTGGCCCATGTGCCCTGCCTGACTGTTGACCCCACATTGCTTTTCCCCTTCTTGGCTTCTGCAGATGGTGGTGTAGTACCCCTATTTTGTGGCCCCTGACTCACACTCTTCTTGCTTTGGACTCCAGTCAAAGCTCTCTATGAAAGAACCTACCAGGCAAAAGCCTGAAAGGAAATTGGGTGTCATCTTTTAAAAATAAGCTTGCTCTGGTGCAAGGTATATTATCCTAGCTGCTGCTCTCTCTTCTCCCAGGGCCTTTATTGCATTGATTGGCACCCACTCTTTTTACTTTCTAAAAGTGCCAGAAGAGAGAAAAGCACATGGTCTCTGAAAGAACCCAGTATCTCGGACGGAGAAAGCTCTGTCCAGCCTCACACCACTGCCATATTCCCGCCTGCTGGTTCTCTGCGGCCTCTAGCCCAGGCTGGGTGCCCTCACTGCCTTTGGAGGGGTGGTATTAGTCCTGATGGCTCGACTCTGCCTCCTCCCCTCCTCTTTTCTGTCCCTGAGTCTGTCAGCCGTCACAGCAAGAGCTCCCATGCAGTCGATAGTGATGACCAGTGTATCCTAAGATCTGGGAAGAAAAACGGATTCCATAACTTCCTATGTCGACAGGCGGTTTCCCTCACCCAGGCCTCTGGTGGTCAGAGGGGACGGGATACAAATAGTGACTGGATTGATCTCAGATCACACATTTTTGAAAATCAAGTGTTACTAAATTATTGTTTCTGTAATCAAAGAAGCAGGCCTGTGATCTGAGAGAGAAGGTTATGTAACAGCGACACTCCAGGTTTCCTGCCATTTCTTTGTCTTTACAGCGGGGTGTTATTTAGAAGTTTTGCTTTGGAACAATTCATTTTCCAAAGCTGCCGGCTTTAGGTTTCTTGCATGGAGTGTTTCAAGCGTATGGTGTTCAAGGTCTCAGGAGAGGGGAGAACGACACTCCACTGTTGCTGCTGCTGGAGTTTGTTCTTTCCTAGGCCAAAGCTTTCATTTCTCTGGCTGTGGCTTTCCACTCTAGCACCCCGACATCCAGAAGTGCCGCAGGGTGCTGCAGCCAGGCCACCAGAGATGCGGGGTGTGGGGTCTCGTGCGGTGGAGGAGGCAGAGCAGGGACTGCTGTGGTTGGTGGTCTGTTCTCCTTGCTGCTTTTTCCTTGTTCAAGTCTGTTACTGCCTTAGAATCATGAGAAATAATTAGATTTATTTATTACTTTATTTATTTTTTTTTAGCACATTTCATTTTGCCTTTGAAACAGTTTCCGTCTGTTTCTCAGAAGGCTCCCGTCTACTCTGAGCCATCAAGGCCGCCTCTTGGATGGAGTTAAAGATGAGGATTTTAGGAGCAGTGGGGCGTGATCGTGTTCCATTCCTGTAGGTTCATCCCGGGGTGCTTTGGGAGGAGTCTTTCCCTCCTCGAGGGATGACTGGCTGTGAAGAATTCTAGGTTCTGGTGAGGGACTGTCCACTTGCCTAGGATGGCGTGTGCAGCAGAAGGGACTCGCCAGTTAGCCTAGATTCCAGGATTTCAAAGTCCTGGGCCTCCTTTGAGGACTCACCTTCTTCCCATTCTCCTTCACTGGTCCCTTCCTGTGGGGTGCCTTGCACCAAACCGCCCCTCCCTACAGGAGCAGGGGCTTGAAGAACACAGGGCTCCCTGTGTGGTGGGTAGCCGCTCCTGTGTCGTGAATGAAGTGCGAGAAGGCAGCACCTTCTGCTCTCTGGGAGCAGAGCCCAGTGGGACAGGGCGCTGGTGCTATCGCACCCCGTTCTCCGAGCAGCAGCAGACCTCCATTATTTCACTCATGAGAAGATGTGGTAGAGGGTTACACTGGCCAAAATGTACATACCTTGTAAGAAATGAGAAATTAGTGGCTGACTGGGCAGCGAAAAGCCAACTGCTGCGTGTCCTCCCATCAGAGCCGAGGGACCACCCTTTCATCACGGATGTCGAATCATGCCTTAGCTAAGTGAATATAGTCTTTATAAAACAATTTTCTACTGGGCTGTTCTCCACTTAGCAAAACCTTGCTTATTTTTCTTGGTTCTTGTTAACTTCTGACTTTCTTAGAATGGAGCGGTGAGGCCATCGGGAGCTCCCTGGGATAACACTCTTGTTTGTTTTTGCCATGAAAGTCCCTGTTCCCATTTTCTTTGGAATCCTAGTTTTGTTACATCAGGGAAGCCCGAGGGCCATGTCCGCACCGCCTCTGTGTGCCTCTTACTGTCTGATCACTGTTGAGGTCCCGGACACCGCCACAGCGCGTCCCGTATTGCTGTTTCACTAGCAGTCCGGGTTTCTTTGTTCACGTGAGCACAAAACAGCTAAAAGAAGATGTTTTCAATGTCTGATTCCGTGCACTGTTCTGAATATCTGAAATTGCTGAACTTTAGAGATAAAATATTGTTTACTGAAGCACAGGTATCCTGAGAATGTCATAGCCCAGCAAATCCTAAGAGGCCCCGTCCCTTGGTCTCTCGCTGTCCAAGCTTATAGAACCAAACGGAATGGAAACCATTCATGGTCACCTCACCCTGCTCTCGAGAGCACAAATTAAATATTCAGAAGAAAGTGCTTCATAGTAGAAGGGAGACTGGAATTTTCTACACAGAATGGCTGAGTTCTAAAATTTCTTCCGTTTGTTTAGTGTGGCTACTCTGTTGAGAGATGGGGCTTTTAAAATAGGAAGGGCTGTCCAAAGGGTTACTGTTTCCCAATAATTTATTTTGAAAAATTTTCAGTGAACAGAAAACTTAAAGGGAGCTTACAGTAAATACCCAAATGTGGACCCACTGCATAGGTTTTTAAGTTACAAACAAAGATTCTATCATTTGTTCCTATTGAAAAGTGTCCCTTGGAGCATGTGTCCCGCATAGACCTTGTCTCTCCCGGGCCAGAAGCTCTTAGTTTTTTTGTTTCGTTTTTTTTTAAGCAGACGCGTTTCAGCCAATGTGAGTTACCTGGGAGTGGTCCTTGTGAAAATGTTTCTTGTGCTCCATGTTTCAGAACTCAGGCCTCCTTCAGACCATGCCTTCTGCTCTTTTCTCGTCAAAGTGAGGGTGATTGTGAAGCTGTTCCGGAGGCCCCTGTTCTGGCCTCTGCTGCTCAATGATACGTCGTCAGGACTCAAGTTAAAACTCAATCTCCAGACAGTGTGTAGCTTTATATTGGAAGTAGATAGCAACTTGAAATTAGGCCATTCTTTACTTAGTTTTTCTTAATTGATTCATGCACTTTAAAAATATTTTTATCTGTTATTTAGGAAAGAAAATCTAAGACTTTAAAACAGTATATATTGTCCCTTTAATATGTATATGGAAAAGTTGAACCTGAAAGTTCACTCTGTTGTATTAATCGGTGGGGTTACTGTAATCAGTGGTTTTTATTGTAAAACTTATCATTTATAGAAAATATCTGAGTTTTAAGTTTTTGATGAGTCCTATCCAGTCCCTCTTTGAAAGAATTAGGTGACTCCCAAACCCTAAAGTCTGTATTTTTGTATTTATTTTTTAAGACCACTTTTCTGCAAAAGGTTGCCTTTTAGCACCAAAGCATATGACTCAAAGGTATGAAGTTGAGTTACCCTAATATTTACATCACAGACTATTGTTTTAGTGGCAGGTGAGGGGGGGGTATGAAACAATTTTGTGCATCTTGAGAACTGCCTTTTTAAATTGATTGAAAGTGATAAAATCTGAATGAAACGCGAGGAAGAGGAAAGCTATCATATGTATGCCAGAACTTTGCTCATCTCCCCATTTTGTTTAGTTTATTTGTTTGCATGTCATTAGTTGACATTGTTCTTTAAGCCTCACTGTCACACTTATGTTGATTGGAAAAATCCCCAAACGATCTTGCTGTCTTTCCCAACAGCATTAGCTTTAGAGTAAGTCTCCTCTGCTGGGTGTGACTGTCACCTGAGGACTGACTTCATCTCTGAGTTCTCTGGGACATAGAGTCTTAGGCCTTGACAAAAGATGGTGCAATTAGAAAGATGCCAGGAACAGCTCCGTTTGTGCCACTGTAACCTCCATAGATTTTGACCGTGGCCAAGAAAGGCATGAGTTGGGAATTCTGACCCGTGACACACAAGAGCCTGAACCCTTGAGTAAGTGTTTATAACAAGCTGTGCCCCTGTAATATGACCCCCTCATTGGGTACAGGAATCGCTACCTTCTTTAATCCATGTGGGTTGTCATTCACACAGCAGCCAATGCAACGCACCAGACAGTTCATTCTTGTAGAGTGTCTGCTCTAAAATCTCTGCTGGGTCTTAGAGGTCCACATCAACCTCTGTACTAGCATCTTCCCGTGTGGCCAAAAGTGTAGAACTGTAGAAAACCAAATATGCTGAAAAAAGGAAGAACACCAACCCTCAAGAATTTTAGTGGTTGAAAAGACTTGGAAGGTAGTTTTACTTTTTTTTTTTTTTAGTTTTACTTTTTGTGGTTGTTGTGAAGGACAGCTTGTTACGGGAGTTTTGCTCTTTAGATCAAGTTGTACTCACTTTGTTATTTGGTCGTGTCTAGGGAACCATGGTGCATGATTCTTCAGGAATGAGTAGGGAATGGTTTTCTAAAGCCAATCACAAGCCTAGTGTTCTCCCACAGCCCTGGGTATAGAGAGCATCCATATGGCCAACATCCCGGTCTTCATGCACAGGAGATGCTAGCCCTAGGTCCTCCCTCCCACACAGTTGTGAAGCAAGGAGAGTTTGTAGGCTCCCTCCATTTCTGTCTGATGCCTTGTTTATGGTATTGTTTACACTGGCAGTGTGCTACCCAAGGCCTCTGTTTACACGATAAATTAGAATTAGATAATAGTAGAGTTGGTAGAGAAGGCAGTCAATCCTGGTTGGAAGTAAGGCTGGGGAGGGACTGTGATGATTTATAGTCACAGATCTGCATAGCTGGGTAACTCATGTAAGACTGCAGTGAGAGCTACCTAAGCGAATGAAGAGGATGTGGCCATGCTGCTTTGAAGTGGATGACAATTAATTGAGTTGGAGAATAGATAGCATCTCTGGGAAGCATACTCTGTCACTGGCTGTGCAGTTTCAGTGTGAGCCTGTGGCTCTTCCAGCGTTCTCAGAGCCTGACTTCAGCGGGTGGTGGATGGTGACTTTGACATTCCATGAAGGAACCCTCCCTGGGAATTGGCTTCTGGTGGCCTCTTTTCTGGGATTGGGGCAGGGGACACGCAAGCAAGAACTGTTTTCATTCATTTGGTCCTGGCAATGGTCAGTGACACACCCCTTTGCTGTAACCTTTGGGTATCCCTTTGACATCATCAGTTACTTAGATCCCTCAGTTAGGGCAGGATTTGGGACCCAAAAGGCGAGGTAAACTTAGTGAAGTGTTGTATAGCCGATTCAGTGCTCTCTGAAGTGTTGCATTGCTTCTGTCTGGACCAAGAAGGCTGCACAAAGCCCCTTCTGTTTGGTCTCTTGTCACTAGAGAAGAAAACCCAATGAATTGCCTAAAGCCTTTAGAGGGGAGTTCATTTAAAAACAGTCATTTCCTCAAAAACTTAAGTTCAAAGGCAAGATACCCACTTTGAAATTATTTGTAGTCCTGGTCACTGGTTTGAACTCATGGTCTGATTTCTATTGCATATGCTTTAATTTCTTTTAGGCCCCAGGCATGTGGACCAGAGTTAATTTCAAGGCTCTTTTTCATCCTTTAGAGATAAGGAGAGTGCCCCAGAAATCAAGAGACATGGGTTTCTGTATTAAATCCCACAGTTCCCTGTCAGTTTAAGCAGGTAGTTTTGGCTTCTCTAGGGGTGAAATATATGTGAAATGATTGCCAGAGGGACAAAGTGTATTTTCTGTAAGTTCTGATAAAGGATCATGAACAATTTGAAGGATTTGGTGTGAAATGCTGGAAGGGGCTCTTCCTGAACACTTCTCCTCACTCAGGTTTGAAATGCCTATAATGCCTGTCATGTTACCTGTGATTGATTGTTATTACTGACTTTTAGGTTCAGGCTAAGAATCATCTGAAAAACAGTATCTTAATTTCCTCCCTTACGTCCTAAACAATACTTCTGAGAAATTCCATATTAAAATCTTCTGAGAGTATTGTCCGTCAACGAATATGTTTTCATTTAATCAAGTTGAATTATTTCTGTTTAGCCATGTTCAAGAACAAGTAAAGTCTGGAAGAAACAGTCTTGTAACCTATGACTCTGCTTCACCTGTTTGCCCTTTAATAGTGGAAGTGTTTTGATTCCCAGAAGTAAGCTGCGTTATGATCAAAGTGGTGGATTTTAAGAAAACCAGACTTTGGGTAAAGATCATTGGCATGGAGGTGCTAGAGTTTTCTCCAACTACGTCATGCCATGTAGCTACGTCTGAAAGGCCTGTTTTGGTGCCAGGAGCTAGAGCTGTCAGTGATTGAAAGATGATCATGCTTTCTTGCTAAGTATTTAAGCAACTGGCAACCAGGAAGGCCCTCTTTTCTTATTGTTCTGTAGACCACACTGATGCTGACAGTATAAAAAGGGGTCTGGAAAGGAAACTGCCACAGTTTTTCTTTAAAATGCAAGAGTATCCTAACAGTCATTTGTCACAATGAACTTGTTTGACATGTCCCCTATCATGGGAACGCTGTTAACATCCCCTGTGGTTTCTAAGAGCTCTGTACCAAATTGTTACTTAATCCTTATGTCCTGCTGAGTGGTTTTTCTTTTAAAATACCATAATTTGTCACCCGTGACACTGAACTCGTTGCTGTGGTACACAGATGATCCTGAGCTATGGGTCTTCAAGTCTTCAAGCAGCTCAGTCCCTGTGTTTTTATATTATGTAACAATTTTGTGATGCTTTTGTGCATTCTTGGTCTTCTCTTCCGAGTTTTGAAATCTGTCATAAATAAACTTTTTCACTATGCACCTGAAATGCTGGATTTGTATGTATTTTTTTTTTAAGATTTATTTATTTATACAAGAACCAGGGTACAGGCCAGATGCGTGGGAGGGTGAGTGGATTCACCAGAGACAGAGCGGGGAACAGAACAGGCAGACTGAAGAAACACACTGCTGAGGGGAGCAGTGGGTGAGACAAGAGAGGTCTACCCTGCCATGTGAGTTGCTCTGTGGCCAGCGGGGATCGAACCAGCACTGCAGAGGCTGTGGACAGCTTCATAGCGTGGCGCTCAACTGCCTGTGCCACCAGGGAGGCCCTAGAGTTGCATCTTAATGAGCCTGATTTAATTTTTTAATCTTTGATCTCTCCTCTGCATCTTTTTTTTTTAATATCCAAAAGGGAAGGTTTATTGTAAAGGGAGAGAGGATAAAGAATGCTTGCGCAGACCCAAGTGGGCAGAAGGAGCTACCCCAAGAGGGACATGTTTGTTGAAAGGGAAGCCTGTGTAGGCACAGGGGAACAGAAGGGCTGCTGCCTCTTCTCTGCCTCTTAAGAGGAAAAGTATTCTACAAATCTATATTAATTATTTTATAATCGCTTAAGGTTATTAACATTAACAGTTAAAAACAAGATGAAATTAATGGTAGATCTAGATCTTTCACCTATCATCTAAATTCATTGCAAAGTATCAACTGGGGGCTGGGTCCAATGGCAGAAAAATCGGGTTTGGAATGATGATTACTGAAGAGATCGCTATTGAGTTTTATGTCAGATTTTGGTCCCCAGTGATGTTCATTTTCCAATGAACAAGTAGTTTTAATTCAGCCTATTTTCATTTACCTAAATGACATCTCTTATAACATCGCCCCTGCACAACCCTGGTGGCCATGACCGATGAGGAGGACTCTCATCTGAGCAGGAAGCGAGCCCAGTGATATCTTCTTCAGCACTACCTGTGGTTCTAAGATGAGCCTGTTTAACCTTTCTCTGTTTTCTATTGCAGCATATTTAGAGATTGTTGTATAAAGGAGGAAAAGACCTGAAATAATGGTGAGTTAAATAATTTAATCTTTCCACCAAACTCTACTGTAAGTAACCATAGAGGCCTAGGCAGGCTATATGTAGCTAAGGGGCTTAAATGATCTTAGGGCCTCCCGGGTGGCCTAGGGTTTTAGTCTCAGCACTATCACCACTATGGCCTGAATTCCATGCCCGGCCAGGGAGCTAACCACATGGCACGGCAGACCTCTCCTGTCTCGCCCACTGCTCTCTTCAGCAAAATGTATTTCAGTCAGTCTGCCTGTTCTGCTCCCCACTCTGTCTCTGGTGAATCCTCTCACCCCCCTGCACCTCTGGCCTGCACCTCAATTCTACACACACAAAATTAACTTTAGTGACAATTGCATGTTAGGTCACTGCTAACGCACAAAAGATCAAAGATTACTTTTTAACATTTAAAGGCACTCACATCTGTCATATTATTGACCTTAACATAGTTCAGGATAATATAAGGCGACTCACAAATTGCAGCTTTTGGCAATCAGCCTGATGTTCCTCTAACCCATGGAGATCTGGGCTGACTGCAGCAACCACCTTAATGCAGGGTAAGCTCCCAGTGGGAGATGCCCGCCTGTGACTGGGATCAAGAGCTCAGTGACTTCATGTTTAAGAGTTAGGAAAATCTGCCAGAAAAGCTGAGAGAATTGGAAAACCATCAGCCTGTGAAGATTTTTAAAAATTTCAACATACACAAAAATGTATTTTTTTTTAACTTTAAAAAGGAGTCAGTAAAATGAATATGTTTATCTGATGTTTATCCAGTAAGTGGACATGCAAAACTGCTTTGGAACAAGTTTATTTTCATTTTGTTATTTCTGTCCTGGTAGCACCTCCCTCCTGCTTTCATCCTTCTAGAGTATTTGCCAGGACCTACGACTTCCATGGAGTGGGAAGAGTCTCCATACCTAATTCCTGGTATCGGACCCCTCCAACCCCCAGTTCTTTGTCCATGTGGCCACGCCCGCCGCGGGACGCCCAGGATCAGGTCTCCTGCCGCCACGGCCTCTGGGAATCTGGTGTCTGCTGTTCCTCGCTGACCTGACAGCTGATGTGGGAAGGAAGGAGGACTTGACTTTTACCATCCATTCAGCCTTTGGAGAATGAAAATATCCCTTAAGTAGGTGATGGTTTTAGATTGAGATTCCCCTGAAAATAATAATTTATTTGTAGACTTGAGGGAGTGGCAGAGGAGGTAATTTCAGAACCCTTTATAGAAACTTAATTATTCCTAAGCCTTGGAGCTATCTGGTCCGACCTCTAGAGAAAAGTCTACGTCTCTGGGGAAATATTTGCTCCTTCATGAACTTTGGGCCCCCCCCCCCAAAGAAGTGAGAGGCATTTCAGAGAATCAGGGCTGCATAGGAAGGCCGGCTTTCAATTTAACAAGTTCCTGGGGGCTAATCAGCCTGTTCATTGCTGGGGTACCGGAGGTGGGTCAGGAGTGCAGCCCCAGAGGCGCTCCAGGGAACTCTGCTGTCAGGCAGGGAGGTGGCTTAGAAAGGCTGCATTTTCTCACTTCCTGGAGCACAGCTAAGTTCCTCTGAGAGTACAGAGGGTTCTCTTCTCGCCCCTTTAGCCAGCCCGAGGTCCCCAGAGGAGAGGTCCTTAGGGAAGGTGCTACAGCCAGCAAAATATCAGGTCTCCACATTCTCCATAGCAGTGCAGTTGACCATGTTAATAACCAGGACTCCGTGGAGGCCCCAGACTGGGAACACATTAGAACTCAACTTCGCAGGCCAGGCGCCAGGCAGACTGCGCAGACTGCTCCCTCCTGAGCTGTGGTCTTTCAGTGGGGCCAGAACCTCTCATTCCTCCCATTGCCCCTCCCACAGGCCTCCCTGCCCCCAACCCACAATCCTCTTCCATTGCTCAGTTGATTCTGAGCTGGCGGTTTCCTGGAACTGCCTTCTCTGTCGCCCTCCCAATTCTACCTCCCCAGCCTATGGTGCTCAAAGGAGACACCTGAGAAGTGGCAGCTGGCCCTTGCGGGATGAGGCTCTCTCCAAGGTTCTGATTGAAGAAGGTGGCCAGGTCAGTATCTAGCCTAGGTACAATGCGTAGGTTTAGCTTTAAAATCACAGTCATGAGATAAGGAGGTGGACTATTCCCTCCTAAAGCCAGTGCAGCTGAGAACCACAGAGGCTTAGTCACCCCCTGTGGGTGGTACAGGTAATCTGCGTGGGTATGTGGGCAGGAACCCGGGACTTGCCTGCCGGATCACCTCAAAGGAGCCTGGAGTGAGTTTCCGTGGCATAGACACATTATTGTTCTTGTGGGGAAGGCCTGATTGTCTGGGTCTGGAGATATGAGGTTTGGGAAAACCAGACGAGAAAAGAGGACCTCAGATGTGTCACATGAACTCCAAGGACCGCTGGCGTTCCCTGCTGGGCCCCGGGGAAAGCCACAGCATTTGTTGTCACCCCTTCCCACCCACCCATGCTGCTTTTCAGGTTACACTTGACACATATCTGAAAAGGCCTATTGCACTAGAAGACTGAAATGATGGGGAAGAAATATGTGTGTCGTTTTGTGTTAGCAGGTGGATGGATTTTGAGAGTTGATAATGGAAACGATCACCTCCTTACCCAATGTCCATTAAGTGCCTGCTGCCAGCCTGAGGATGGCTGATGGGGCCCCACGTTAAAATTCTGATAATTGTCTAAGTGGAGACCTAACAGATGAAATGTGTCAATTTCTCAGAAGTTCTGTTGGATGAGACAGACAAGCAGATCGACAACCCACTGTGTTGAATGGTGGTGTTAAAGCCAGTTGGTCATTTCCAGGATCTCGTGGAGAGAGAGCACAAAGGAGCCCAAGGCGAGAAAGGGGAAGCAGGTGCTCTGGGGACTCATGGCCGAGGGAGGCGGCTTCCATCGGAACCAGCACACGTCCCTTCGTTCCCTATTTAAGCTTCAGCCATGCAGGGGAGATGAAATCTCAGGTATGGGGCATGAAAGTCATCTTGTTTCACAACCAGAAGGGACCCCAGTCTCCCTACAATATCTTTGCCAAGAGGTGATCCTGCTTCTGGTTGGACACTGCCAGGCATGGGGACCCAAGGGGGAAGCGCCCACCCCAGCCTGCTGCATCTCCTGGGCTGGCCTGGCCGCCAGCTGTCCACAGTGCCCATGAGGAAGGCTGCCTCTAGTTTCCTAGACCATTCACGACTGAATTACCCCAAAAGCCTGATCCAGAGGACCTGGCCCCTGAAGATAAGGGACCTCTCAGTGCCACGTTCATTCTAGGCTCTGGAAGCTGCATTGGTCACAAAAGGCCTTCTTTCCTGCTTCTCCTCTCTCTTCTCTTCTGGGCCTTGTCTGATTCTGTCAGGCAGGCTGTGGGCTTCCGTCCCTTCCTTGTCCCTAGCTGCATCAGGGACCAGGCCCACCACAAGGTGGCCAGATGGCTGGCTGACCTTTCCCTTTAGCCCAAACACAGGGCAATCCCAGCTAGGAAGCGTGTTCATCTTCTGGAACCCAGCTCAGCATTAAATGACGAACCCGGAGACCAGGGCTTCAGTTTAATGACCAGATGTAGGGGTGGGCATTCTGGAGTCAGATACAGTGGGGGGAAGGATAGGGGTACTCAGGCTTCTTTATGGCTTTCTGGCAAACCTCATGTCATCGTCATGGCTGCCTAATGGTGCAGATAACAGGTATGTCTGCCGAACCGCCTCTCAGCATCGTCCTACCCCACTCTGCCCACACTGGAAAACGGGGGGACTGAGGCAGGAAGAGGTTCAGGGGGAAGGCAGATCCAGAGCTAGGAGTGCCAGTCTCCTTCCTCTGCAGTTAGGCTCACTTGTTTCCAGGACCATGTAGCCCACCCAGCTTCTGCTCTGGCACACCTTGGCCTGCCCCCACACCCGTGAGCTTGGGTTTGAGCACTAGGCTCTCAATTCAGGCGGTGTGTCCGGCTGCCGGAGGGGGTGAGACACCTGGAAGGCCTCCAAGGCCAGCAGTGACTTGTTGATGCGGCTGATGGTAGGGTAGGGAGTGATATCCACTTTGTACCTGTGGCAGAGAAACACCCACCTAAGCCAAGGTCTGCAGGGGCACAGAAACACAGTCCTGTGGACAGTGAGGGAAACACAGGCGGGCTGGATGTGGTCCCCGGGCTGGCCAGGGAGGGATTGGGAAGATGGCCTAAATGAGGGGTGCCTATTCACAGGAGCTCTCTGGGGTGGGGAGTCTGGCACAGAATCAGCTGGCATCTCTGCTTCCTGATCCTGTTCAAGCCATGACTGTTTATTGAGAGCCTCCTATGTGGAAGGCGCCATGCTGGGCATTTATATAGACAGACTCTCACTCCAGCCATGTCATCAAGCTTCTCGGGGGCAGGGAACATGCCAGACACTTCCACAGCCCTGCCGGTGCCAGCACGATGCCTTCCAAGGAGGTACTCACTCGTGCCTTACCGAAGGACTGATGGAGGAAAGCAGAGAGTTCACTGCCAGGCAGAGAAACCCTGTCAAGGGACAGCAGGCTCTTGGGTTTTTTTTCCTAGGGGCATCTACCAGATGAACTGCCCCCTTTTAGGAGCAGGGATTCCGCAGGACCACTAGAGCTGGTGAGGCTTGGCACAGTGGCTGGTGTGGCTGGTTGGGGAGAGTTTCTGCATGAGATGCTACCTTAGCTGCTGCAGTAGGGGACAGGAGGTCTGATCACGAGAGAGGCTGGGCACTTTGCGGGGGAGGAACCAAGAGGAAGAGGTGGAGTGGAGGGGCCCCCTCTTACCTTTCAGCATTTGCCACCTGAGGCACTAAGCACAGATCAGCCATGGTCACCTGAAACAGGGTTGGGGAGGCTTGTGTCAGGGTGTGCACCCCAGACTCTCAGGCTGGGCTGGTGTCTCCACCGGGGATGGAAACTGGGGGCTGGCTCCTGTTGCTCCTGGCCCCACCGCCACCCTCTTCCCGGACCTGTCTGTGCTGGTCCCTAGAGCTAATGAGCTTCTCCCAGGCCTTGCATCAGTTGCCCTGACAACCAACTCTTGATGGCCAGAGAAGGCTTGGTTGCCTCATGGATGTTACTGTGCCTGCGAAAAACCGCTACAGGCACTTAATGAATGCTTCCTGCGGGTGGGGGCTCTGGAATCAGAATTACCAGAAGGCCAGGGCCTTAGCCGGTGGGAGTCAAGGTCATGTGAATCTAGCATCTTAGAACTGGCAGCGAACAGCTCTAGTATATGGCACCCAAGCAGGCCTTTCTGTTCCCTCATCTGAGTTGAGGCCTCAGCTGGAATAGTTCCGGGAATAAGAAGCTCATTTCTTCCTGAGGCAGCAGAGGGTGAGCAGAGGAGCTACTCATGAATGAACTTCTGTCCTTGGGTCCTGTCCTCCCCACTCCACCCCAGAGATCCTCCTCAGAAAGCTGCCTCAGCGGCGGGGTGGGGGTGGGTGGGAGGGGGTACGTGGCTGAGTCAAAGTGGAAGCAAGTGGCAGCCTGAGGCCATAGCGGGAGGAGACCACAGTGGCGGGCAGGCCTGTGAGGGCTTACCTCATGTTCCTTACCTCATCTCCCACACAGTACTTGCCCGCTGTGCCCTTCAGGATCTTCTCTAGAGCTGTGGGGAGGCCACATGAATAATCTTAGTCTGGGCACAGAAAGGGGAGATCAGTGGCCCCCACGCTAACAGACAGGCTGGGGCATGTGTGCTGGAGGGATGTGGCAGCAGATCTGGAGAGTTGAGGGGGACATGGGGACAAGACCATGTTTCCCTGAGCTCCTCAAGCCCAGCTGCCATTCCCTCCCCTAGCATGGACAAGACCTGCCACTACCCAAGGCAGCTGCTCTCTCACTGATAAGCTGGCACTTTGCTGCCCTTTATTTCCTGGCTGGAGTGGGCAGTGAGGCAGAGGTTAGGCCAAGCAGCAAACACAGGCTGTGAGGCCCAGGAACTAAGGTGTCTGCAAGTGCCAGAGGTTGAGGCCAGGTCTGTCGAGGTCTTCCTAGAGTGTGGGAGGACTTGTCGGCCATGAGGAACCTTCTCTGAGAGGCTTCGTTAGGGTAGCTCCCACACTCACCATTAAATCCAGAACTGATGACCTTCTGGGCCCAGGCCAGCTGGTTCTCCTCTCCCACTTGCTTCAGGACAGACAGGTTCTGTTCAGCCCAAAGAGAATACGTGATTGGCCTTGGGGGCAGGGCTGGGCCTGCCCAGTCAGCTAAGGCTCCTCAGGGAGGCTCAGTGCCCAAGTGCCCCTGGCTGTCCATGCCCCAGGGTGCCGGGCTCTGAGTGCCTTCCTCCTATCAGAGCTCTGCAGTTGCGGGGAGAGGGTGATCCCAGCAGCTTCTTTCTCAGGCTGCCCCAGGGGGCCCCGTGACCCTGGCAGAGCTGTGTAAGGGTGGGGGAGTGTGGCTAAAAGCTAGGCCTATCTCCCTACAAAGTTTCTTCCTTACATGGTCCCTTGTAGGAGAGGGAGTTGGTCCAGGGTTGGGGTTGGGGGGGCGCATAGGATTGGCTTCTGGGAGATTTACTTTCTGGTTCCCTTCTTGCACCCCTGGAGCCATTTTGTGTCTGAACTTCAGATTCCCTGTCTGTAAAATGGGGATGACTGGACTCCAACCTCCTTTAATCAAAAAGACAAAGTGCAGCCTTCCTGGCACAAGGGGTTAAGTCTCCACACTAAAAAGCTATCGGCAACCACTGTAGCATGAGTTCCCTCCCCGGCCAGGGAGCTACCCACATGATGCTGCAGACCTACACCCCAGCTCTTGTATGCATAAATAAATCAAAAAAATCTTTTTAAAAACCCCAAAAAACCCAACTAGACAAAGTGATGTGGAGGACTCTGCCAGGGGACCTTGCACTGCTGTTATAGGACAGGGAGAGGGGCAGCCCAAGCCCCGCAAACCTGCCTATTTTAAATGGGTTCTGCCATCCGCCGCATCAACACAAAACATAGGAGACTTTAATGGGAAGAACTTTAATAAAAACTAGGAAACAATACAGGTGAGGCAAAGAGTCTAGTTTCTAAATGAAGCACCCAAAGTTACCCATCCCCTCGTGGGTAAAAGTCCATCCATATGGGAATGGCGCAGAGCAAAGCCCCAAAGCCTGCTAAAAGTCTAAAGCATCTTCCAGTGGGGACCCACAGAAAAGGGTCACAAACAACCGGACAAGCCCGGAAGGAAAAGAGCAAAATCAACATCAAGATAAAAGCTGCCATGGTCACCTCCCCACGGGTCTCACCCACACTGTGTCACCCAGTCTACGACCAAAAGACAAGCGCAGTTTCTTCACGTGTCTCTAGGCTCCATGTGCCTCCTCCAGGTCTCCTGGCTCCATCCTGCTTCCTTCCTCAGTCTCTTCTTGCAGCTCCTCTCCCTGCTCAGCTCCACCCTCCCTTGGGTGGGGCAGGGAACCTCCCCCTTTCCTGGGGACCACCCTGTTGCACTGCCACTACTTCCTTTCGGCAGCTCGTTCCTCCAAAGTCGGCAGTGAGCAACGATGAATTGTTCACTGTTTTTGTCTATTTGCTCTACCACTGAAACTTTTTTAAATAATAAAACCATAGGGGAACCCCAATCTGTAATACAAAATAGGCGGGAGGCCTGGACTGGTGGCTGCTCAGCCTCTGCCTGCCTCCCAGCCCTCCCCGACCCCACACCTCTGCATGTGTCCACAGGAGCCTAGGGCTTCTTGGAATGAAGTTGGGGATTCTTCTCAAAAGCAGTGGATGATTTCTGGGATCCCTCCCACCTGTACCAGATGGTCTAGGCAGAAGCCTCTGAGAATCCCTTCCTGTCCTCCTGCAGCCCCATCCCACAAGCTGGCACCTCACTGTGGGCTTGCCAGGGGGTGTGTTTGGCTGCAGGAGGGATGCCCAAGCACAGGAGCCACACCTGCAGGGGCTGGATGCCGCTGGAGATGAGGTCGGAGATCATGCGCACGTGCGCCCTCTTCTTGGGGTCCTGAGGCAGGAGTCTGGGCGTGGGCCGGGTCTCCTCCAGGTACTCAATGATGGCCAGCTGTCCAGAGGAGGCAGTGAGGCAGGGAGGGACAGGGGGCCCAGCGGGACAGGGTCAGCAGACTCTTCCTCTTCCTTTTTTCCTCCCCCCACACCTCTCTACCCCCTTTTTCCGGGTCACTGAAGCCAAGCTCCTCAGGGGGAGAAACTCTTTTTGGACCCTTCTCTGACAACTCCTATTCCCCAGATGCTTGAGTTTCCCGTCACTTCTCAAAACAGGCAACCTTCCGCCTTCTGACGGATGTTTATCGCCCCCCACTAAATTCTAGGCGCCTTGGTGCACTCAGGCCAGGAAGAGTCATGAGGGCCTCTAGTTCATGGCTGCACTCACCGACTGGCCAATGGTGAGTCCATCAATCTTCAGGGCTGGCACCTGTTTCATGGGGTTCAGTGCCTGGTATTCTGGGGAGAACTGCAGAGAGAAGGCCCGGTAGAGTAGGTGACCTGGCCTGAGCCGGCTAAGGCAGGGCCCAGCCCGCAGGAAGAGCCCAGGCCTGCCTCCCACCAGGTCCCCTGCCTGGCTCCAGGTCCAGGGTGGAATCTGGGGCACCTGTGCAGTATCCCAGCCCCCCCAGCTGTTGATAAGCTACTGGGCTGGTGACGTGATACTTTCTGCACCTCACATTGTAGCCACCAAGGCACCTCCAGAGGGCTCACTCAGTGTGGGGTAATGACCCCCTCACCACCCACCCTCCTGGGGTTAGGCACCAAGATGCCCAGCTGGAGTGCGGAGCCTGGAACCTGGGCTTTCCCACAGCTCCTCTCGCTGCACAGCTTGCCACCCCGTCCCACAGGGAGAGCCAGCAGCCTTCTCCCTCAATGTGACCATAGGGTGCAGCGTCACCTGTTGGGGGCAGGAGTCTATACACCCTGCCGGGTCCTACTCCAAGGCTGCCAACTCCCACACCATAGCCTGGGGTTAGCCTTCTTACCTGCTGCCCCCCATCCTTTATGAGGTTGATAGGAATTATCTCATAGTTGATGTTTTTCAAGGCCAGAGCTAGGAGAGACAGCAGACGTTCCCAGGGTGACAGGAGGCCCGGCTTGGCGCTGCTGACCCCTTCTCTGGCTCTCCTGTCACGACCTCCTCTCCTTTCCAGGGCCATGGTGCTCTGCTTGTCTTGTCCACAAACTGCATATGGTTTCCCCCCATCATGTGCCCCCTTGTAGTGCTAAAAGCTGTGCCCCCTCACCTACTGTGGACTCCTGGAAGATGGCAGGTAAGGGTCTTGTCCATCTCTGTCCCCTTCAGGGCTCATTTATTGTTCTCCTGGGGGCATCTTAAGGGTGAAGGCAAGGTGCTTAGGGCACCACAGGCAGATGACACTCCGCTGAGGGAAGAAACCCTTTCTACATTCGCTGTGGTCAAGAATTGTTTACTAGATTTTGCGCGGGGCATTAGGATTCTTGGGGATCCTACTTGATAAGGTCCCTGGCACAGTGCAGGTGACCGTGTGTGCGCAGATGTGTGTTTGTGTGTGCATGCACACTTGTGCATTAAACTACGACAATGGCTGCAGGCAAGGAGTGAAGGGAGGAGGAGACCTGGCACTGTCTCAGACAGCCGGGAGACAAGGGCACCTCCTCAGCGCCGGCCTCCACATCCAGTCTGGAAAGTGAAAGTGGTTGGGTGGGGTGGGAAAGGCCTCGCACACACACAGAGCTGGCGCTTGTGCAGCTTTGCCTTCTGGCCCAGCCAGGGCAGAGGTTCCGGGAAAGGCATCTTAGAGAAATGTGTCCTTTGGCACCCCAATGCTCTTGCCGCCTCCTTCCAGCAAAGACCAGGTGACGGTGGGATGGGGGAGGGTCACGGAGGATGGCCTTCCAGTTAGGGCCAGGCTCCAGAGGGCAGGCTGCCTGGGTTCAAGTTTATCACGTTTATTTGCTGGCTGTGTGGTCTTGGGCAAGTGACGGCAGGGGCCTCAGTTCTTCAGTGTCCAGCTGCCAGGTGGCGCGGTGCCGTAGTTAAGAACCTGGACTCTGGAGCCCAACTAATGGGTTTGAATTTCAGCTTTATCTCTTACTAGTTACGTAATCTGGGCAAGGTTTGCAGCCTCCGTTGTTCTGTTCCCTCAGCCCACAATGGTACATTAGAGACAATAGTACTTCCCGCCCAGGGTTTTTGGAGATTAAATAGAAGCGCACATACAAAAGCACTCAGCACAGTTCCCCCTCAGCATGCTTGGGAGGACTATGACCTTTGCCAAGCACGATGTTAAGCTCAGGGGTAAGGGTCAAATTAGAACTAAACCAGAGAGCCCCAGTTCTGCCTCCTCAAAGGCAGTTGACATGGGCCATTCTGTTGAATGTTCCAGATTAAATAAGATAACTGAGGCAGGCCAGCTGGTCCCTGCCAGTTACCAAGGACTTTGGGATTTTGTGGGTCTGCTTTAAGCATGGTTGCCTAGGGGCTTTGAAGAGCAGAGTGGGAGAGCTGGCGGTCCCAAGAGAAAAACAACCCTCCCTTCCTGCCACCCCTGTACTCCCCTTATTGGACTTCCCAGGTGAAGGTGTCATTTGGGGCTGAGGGCTCCAGAAACAGATGCTGGTTGATGGAGTGGAGCCCCGTCTGACAGAGCAGCCCTTTCTGTCCCAGGTTCTCTTTCCCCGGGGCTCCCTCCACCCCAGCCCACCCCACCCCAGCTCTTGGTAGAGGCACAGCTCTTACCTATTCGAACTCTCCATGTGCAGGAGCTTCGGAAATAGGAATAGAGGATGGGCTGAGGAGAGAGGATGAGGGAACCCATTAACACATGCTGGGGAGCTCTGGGTCCCTGGAGCCCACTGGACTAGAGGGAGCAGCCCCTGGTCAGGGAACTCCAAACCAGCACTGTTTCTCCCCATCCCTGCCAGGCCTCCCTCCCCAGGCATCTGGGCAACTCAGGCCTGACCCAGAGCTCTCTGGGTCAGAGGCCTTGGAAATCACGTGGGGTCCCTCATCTCTAAACTGTGGCAAACTACTGAGTGTGAGGACCCCCAAAAGGGCAGCCAGTCTGCAAGTGCCTGCCTTACCTTGCCAGACTCAGTCATGGTGCTGTGGTGACCCTTGGCCTCCCGGAGAATGTCTCTTTTTCACAAAACTAGCTGGCAGGGGGAGGGGCTATGAAGGCGTGGCTCCCTTGAGCCAATGGGAAAGTTGGGTTAGAAAAGCTGAAGGGTAATTTTGACTCTAGCCAGAAAAGGCATCTCTTTCCAACTTGTGGGTAGTTTTTTATGCTCCTGGGGGAGCCAGATTTGGTGTCCAAGGCAGACAGGGTTTACTGTATTTTTTTTTTAAAGATTTATTTTTATTTATGCATACAAGAACTGGGATGTAGCCAGAGGTGTGGGGGGAGAGGTGAGAGGATTCACCAGAGACAGAGTGGGGAGCAGAACAGGTGGATCTACTGAAATACACTGCTTGCTAAGGGGAGACAGGAGAGACAGGAGAGGTCTGCTGAGCCATATGGGTCAGCTCCCTGGTCGGGATCGAACTCAGTGCTGCAGTGGCTGCGGATAGCTTCATAGTGCTGAGACTTAACCCTTTGCATCACCAGTGAGGCCCTAGGAAGGCCCCAGGGTTTACTGGTTTTGAGGCTGCCATTCACAGAGACAGTGCTGCCTGACCTTGAATAAATCCCTGCCTTCTCTCGTTTTTCAGTGCCCTCATCTATAAAAGGAAAGGTTGCCCTAAAATGATGGCTTAGATTCCTTTCAGTGGTGGCCAGGAAGACCAGGAATTCTTTGATGCTTCAGTGTCCATCTCTTTCTACTCATCACCTACCAGACCTCCAGGCTCTCCACTGGTGTCATTAAAATAGCTGGGGAATATTTACACCAAGGCTGAAGTGGCAGGTTGGCAGCCCAGTGCTCTGTTTGGTCTACACAGTATTTAAAAATGTTTCAATTAGTTGCCAAGATTAAAAAAAATCAGGACATTTCATATGCAAATCCTGTTGTCTCTTTTTCCTTTAAAAAATATCTGGAGCAGACTGGGGTTCCTGAGTAGAAATGATTAATCAAGAACAATTAATGGCCCCTTTTAATCAGGGTATGTTCTCACTGATCTGCCTTGGTGCCCGCCTGACCTACTTCTCTCATTTGTTACCTTTAGGTTACCGGAGGCCACCTCTAAAGTTTAAGGAAAAAGTTAATTTCTCTAGAGCTTCATGGACAAGCAGCATTTCTTAGCAGGGCCCAAGACAGAAGCACTAGTAATTAGCTCATGAATCTTCAGGCAAACACATGTGTATCCATGTAGATGAGATTGAACTGACCTGATTTTCTCAGATCACCCTTATTACCCCCTGACTATAAGCATTTCATTCAAGTTCCCTCTCCCTTCGCCTTGCCAGGCACACCAACCTGCTTTCTAAACCTGCTCTCACTATCTCTGATGTTCCAGGTCTTCTAGGTGCGCAAGGGCCAAGTGGGTTCCTGAGCTCGAGTTCCATCCTGTACCAAAGGGAGCTTTCGTGGGAAAAATAAAAGATGGTTCTGGCACCGAAAGCAGATGAGAGGCAGCGGGTGTACTTGGAAGGGGAGGAGGTGAGGGTACATTCAGAATTACCTTCTTTTGTTTTTATTTTCAAAAATTTATTTATGCATACAAGGCCAGAGGTTGGGGTGGGGGGTGGAGAGAAGATTCACCAGAGACAGAGCTGGGAGCAGAACAGGCAGATTGACAGAAATGCACTGCTGAGGGGAGTAGCAGGGATAACAGGAGAGGTCTGCTAGGCCATGTGAGTCAGCTCCCTGGCTGGGGATTGAACTTGTTCTGCAGTGGCTGCTGATAGCTCCATAGTGCTGTGACTTAACCCCTTGCAGCATCAGGGAGGGCCCCAGAATTACCCTCTTTGGAGGTACATCTCTTTGCTGACCCCGCCAGACTGGAAGGGTCCCTGGGGCTGAGACAGGGCCAGTCAGTGAGGGATGGGATGACTAGGGAGCAACAGAGGTCTTGCAGAACTGCCTTAGTTACTAAATGTCACACCTTTGGCCTGCACTTGCCAAGGCCACTGCCCTCAGGTTTCCTACTCATGGGTCAGCAGGAGACACAGTGGAGGGCAGTTTCGGCTCTTTCTCTTACTAATGATCATTATATGAGGCATCGCTATTTCCTTTTGCAGTTGTGGAGCTGATTTTATGCTCAACTATTCACCTCATCACCACTCCCGGAGGAATTCTGTTTCCAATTCAAATACAGATTCTCACCACTCAAGCAGGATTTTATTTTTCAACCACTTCGTTCACATGCCTTTAGACAAAGACTCCTCAAGTCCCATCTGGGGGTATTAAAGTGATGCACTGGGTGTGCCCGCCAAACTGCAGCTCTTAAGATTCGTGGGGGGAGGAGGGAAAGGCACGAAATAAGATTTGCTCTGGGCCCTTTTTACAGGCTGACGCGATGCCGCTGGGGCAGGAGCTCCCGGGAGGACCCCAGTGCCCCTGCAGCCCCCACGCCCCGGGGGCTCGTAAAATGCAAACCACCCAAAACCGTTAACTGTTGGGACTTGTCAAGTCGATCGGCCGGGAGAGGAGCAAGCAGGGCCGGGCGGGCAATCCCAGCAGAGGGCGTCCGGAGAGACCGGTGAGGCGCGAGGGAGCAGCGCCGGCCAAGCCCAGCGCGCTCAGGGGCGCGACGCGCCTCGGGCCGGCCTCCCGGGGCGCCCAGGCTCCCGCCCGCAGCGCGCAGGCGCAGAGCAGGCCGGGGGGGCGCACTGCATGCTGGGAGTCGTTGTCGGCCTGTGGGCGGGGCCTAGAGGCTCACCTTTGACCCGCCCCCTAGGTTTCCCAGTGTCTCTAAGCAGCGCCCCTCTCCCCGGGTGCTCGGCACAGACCTTCCCTGCTTGCATCTCGCACTGCGGGCGACCCCTCTTCTGGGCCAGGACACTTCGAGCCTGGGATTCTCCGAGCCGTCGACGATCGAGGCCCAGAGGGAGGGACCCCGACAACCAGAGCCCCGGCTTCCGCCTCGGTAAAGCGAGGGGCCGGCCCAGAATGACCTGTGCGGGCTCCTCTGGCCCGCCGCGCCGCGCCGCCACGCCCCCAGCCCCGGCGCTGCCGGAGTTGTAGTTCCCTGAGCCGCTCCCGCCGGCCGGTCAGCGGCCTCGCCGCCCGGCATGCTCTGCGCCACCAGCGGCCTCCTAGCGGCCGCCGCTCTCCCCGCCCAGCCCCGCGGCCGGGGCCCCGCGCCCCGCTGCCGGCGCCGGGAACTACACTTCCCAGGGCACCCCGAGCTGTCTCTTGGCGGCTTCTTGGCGGGGCGGCTCGCAAGACCTAGTGTGCCTGCGGGCCGGAGGGCGGTGCTGAGGCGGGGACGGATGCCGCCGGCGGTGGGCGGAGGTCTGGCGGGGTCCGAGCTGCGCCCCCGGAGGGGCCGCTGTGGACCCCAGGCCGCTCGGGCCGTGAGCCCGGACGTGGCCAACGAGGCTGCAGCGCGAAGCCCCAAACGGCCTGCCTGGGGCTCGCGGCGCTGCTGTGTGGCCGGCCGGTGGGCCCTGCTGGCCCTGGTGACGCTGCTGTCCTTCGCCACCCGCTTCCACCGCCTGGACCAGCCGCAGCACATCTGGTGAGTGACGGGTGGGAACTTGGCGGGCTCCAAGGCAACCGGAGGCGGGACGCGCCCTCTGATTGGGCCGGGGGCTAGAAGGGGCGGGATCCTCAGGGGCAGGGGCGGGGCCAAGGCGGTGGGGAAACAGACTGGGCGGGGCTTGCCTCTAGCCAGGTGCCCTCGGAAGAGGCTGTTTTGGGGGGTGGCAGTGGCTTTCTTAGGATCTGAGGAAGCAGCCTTCATTTCCAGTGATTTTGCAGTGTCCCTCTTGGCTAGCAAACTGTCACTTTTAAAGGTGCTTTGAACTTTCCAAGGCGCACTGAGAATTCGGAGTATAGAATTTTCTAAGGTCTAAATTCTAATCTGCAGGATTTCTAGGCATCAGTGAAGGGGATTATCTCTCACTGATCCCTCACTTCATCTTCGGGAGCAGGGACAACTTGGGTGACCAGGAACTGTGACAAGGAAACAAGTCTGGGGTCATCCCGTGTGGAGAAACTTATTTTCTTAAACGTTTCATGGTGTAGGTTTCAGTTGCAGGATTGAGGCATGGTCACATTTCATTAGATACCTTAAAAAATCTCCAGCTGGAAGAAGGAAATGTTTTATACAGTCTGAAGGTGGTTAATATGTTTGACCAACAAAGATACCATGTTTTCTTAATGTGACTGTGAGGAAAGTTACTTTAGGGGATTTTAGAAATGGAGCTCCTAGACCAAGAAGTAAGCAAGCTAAAAACTGTCAGGTTACTTTACTGGAAAGTTAATAAATTAGCTTGTTACTGTTACATGAGACTCCTGGGCCAGACAGTGGACTAATTGTTGGTGTGCTTGAATCAGGATGAACATCAGCATATTGGAGTTAGTTTCCTTGCCCTCCACGTGTCACAGGGCGATGCTGTGGGCTTAGATGGAGGACTGCCCACGCAGTGGATTGCCTCCAGCTAAAGAACAGCAAATCGGGAGTCTGTTGCTTTATAGTAAGCAGCAAGCAAGCATAGTCTTTATCCTGGAGAGAAACATTAACTCACTTCTCAAGGTTGCTGGGTAAAACACAACTTTGAAAAATGGCCAAGGTAAAGTGCATTCAAGGCCTTGTATCCTTGGCATACCCAGCAAGATGGGTAGAAGTACAGAAGACCCATGAGGATTATCTCTCCCAACAATCTCACCCTTCTACCTGACACTGTCTTGGCTTCTGGCAAATTTTCACATGAATATGCAACTCCATTGGTTACTCTGGTTAAACTACCTGACATTTAATCCTGCCTGACAAGTAAAAAACCAAACCAAAACAAAAATAATGGTCAAGAACCAATGACAACAAACTTTCAAAATGGGTGCATTTTTTGTATGTAAATTGTACATTAAAATTGATTTAAAATCCTGCACAATGACAATTAAAAAAAATACCAAGTGTTGATAATATGGAGGAGGCAGAATTTTCCTAAGCCAGTGGAGTGAGTGGAATTGATACACCACACTTGCAGTAGCTTTAAATCGGAACTTTTGACCCAGCCATTTCATGTGTAGGTATTTGTGCAAGAGGGCACACATGTGGTGCTCACAAATGTTCATAACAGTTTCATTTAAAAAAAAAAAACTGACAGAAGCAGGGGCCAACAATTTGTGCATAGAGCATCTAATTAATAAGAATCCTGTCAGTGGGACTCAAAACAGCAGAAAGAGGCCAACCTGTGGTGTTTACCATACTCTTCAGGAGCCTGGATTTAGCCATCTGTGAATGTATTTTCGGTGGGAAAGGACCAGTAAGCCTTATTTGAAAAAACAGCTGTTCTCCAGTCTGTTATTCCTATAAGCCAGTCTGTTATCCATTATGACTTGTGCACAGGGTTTCAGACAGGTGTCATCTGATTTTTGGTGTCATATAGTTGTCATAGATATGATGACCCCCCCCCCCAAAAAAAAAAAAAGTAAAAAGCAACTTCTGTGCCCAATGGAAAGATATTCCATGGCTCATTCTTCCCTAGATCCTAACATTACCTGAAGGGGTGCAGGTCTCTCTACTCCAGGAGTTTTTGTTAAATTTTATTTGTATCACCATCAGCTTTGATTTGGATCACCTTTACAGTGGTTTGGTTGAGTGTCACTGTACAAAGGCATGCATAGGAACTCTTACAGCTAAGGGGATCAGGAGAAACGCATGAATTTATATCAGAATGTGCTTGTCTGGGCAACCTTGTATGCATGAGAGGGAGGTCCATGATTGGGAGTTGGTGGTCAGGCCCATCAGAATAATTCAAAACTGGCCAGGCTCATATAAGTTTTTCTGATGTCATAGTGCAGTGGTAAGTTCTTCAGGCTGCCACAGATAGATGGGGAGGGGACTGGGCCTAGGGAAGAAAGAGAACATTAATTGTCTCTCTTTTTGATATTTCTAGGGGTTAAGGTGGACTCTGTGCCCTTCTCCAGGCTGTATGATCGGTGCCTCACCTCTGTAGATACTTTCTCAGGGTACAGGGTCGATGATGCTGTTCCAGTCTAGTCAGCTGCCTCTAGATACACCACCGAGGCAAGAGACACACTTCTTGCATATTAAGCCAATTGCTCAGGTTGTTTCTTTCTTTCCATTGCTGTATAATCAGTGTGTCTCACCCCACTACCTATAATTTCAACTTTTTTCTAATTATCTCCTATTAATAGCCAGACCTTTTTGTCAAGGCATTATTAGAAAATTGACAGACTCATTATGTCTCCCACCTTCACCCATGTGAGCCACTATGTGGGGACTTGACAAATAGTGCACTCAATCAAGGGACATCATCTAGAAACATGCCACTCCCATAAAATTCCGGTGACTGGCCTACCTAGAGTTTGAATTCTATAGACCCTTCCAGACCAATATGGAGTTGCTTTTAGGGGAAGGAAAGACAAATCATGCCTAGGCATGGTCAGTGAAGAATCTTAGATTTTAAATACAGGTTTATATGACCCTCTGCCAGTCGGTGGCCAAGAAGAGATGCATCCTTTCTGGTGAGGAGCACTGTGTTAGGTGCCCAAATGGCCTCAGCAGTTGTGTGAGCCAGGAAATGAGAGAAGTAGAGTTAGAAATTTTTTTGAGACAACCCTACAATGCTTGATTATATCAGATGCCCGTGTAGTAGGGACTGTGAAATGCCATCAAATACCTTCACTATTGACCCATGATGGGGTGGTCATTGCAAAAAAGATAAGGGGCACCATTTTTACTGTAGATGCTGTAAAAACCTGGAAACATGACATAGTACAGTTTCAAGGGCCACTGTGGTATATGTAGAGGTAGATGACTAGACTGGAACAGCATCTTTGACACTGTAAGCTGAGAAAGTATCCGCAGAGGTGAGGCATTGACGATAGAGCAGGAGAAGGGAACAAAATCCTAAGAGAGTCAGTTTCCTTGGAGCAGGCATGGTCAGTGCCCCATGCAATGTGGCTTCTTTTACTGTAAGACAAACAGGCAGTTTTTGGCAGGAGTCATAAGTCACCACAACGCAGTGATGGCTTCTGCTTCAGAGACATAGAGTTGTTTAGTTTGCGTTGGGTCCATGGTGGTAAAGGTGTTACCGCCCTGGTGCACCAATGAATCTAGGGGCCAGTGGCAGCAGGCTGGGGGGTGCGGACTTGTTCAGCACTAAGACTTGATTCCAGTCAGTCTTAGTAGGGTGCTATCCCTTAATGCAGATATCTACATAAGCTGTCCAGATTGTCCCCGCTGCAGACTGTCAGACAGGGAGAACTGTTTTTAATCTCTCAGTTTATAGTCTTCCAAGCGGCATACCAGATGGCGGGAGTCAGTAAAAATGTAGCTTGTCTGTTTCTTAGGAGGATTGTCTAAGGCCAGGGTGGTGGCTTCAGTTCAGCCTGTTGTGCTGATCCATCTACCGCAGCTGGCCCTTCAGAGGTGTCCTTGGGGCTGTGTGATTGTTGCTGCTCAGTGGACACCACCACCTTTTAATTCAGTCTCTCCGTCAGTGAACCGGGCATAGGCATTAGAGGCACTTTAGTGAATGAATGCCCCGCTGAACCAGCAGCTTTTACTTCAGGTGATGAAATGGAAACTAGATTCTTCCAAAGTAGGAGCTGCTGCTTTTTCATGTAAAATTGTGTTGTCTCTTGAGCCAGGCTGGCTCTTCTCCTTAGCCCACCATTTCCACTGGAACAGTAATGCTCGATGAGCCCTTCCATTTCAGTCCAAGTCACCCTACTCCAGGTTGGCAAAATCAGGCCAAAGAGTCCTAACACCTTTGTCAAGCACTTGGTTTCTATAGGAACTTAGTGGTACATTTAAAATTTTGAAAGTTATGTGCCTGGTGCCTGCCTACTGCAGGTGGCACTGTTACCTTGGAAAATGGTCTCAGCACTCTAGCAGTCATGATGGCTGTAAAACTGTGATTCCCTTCTCTTCTTATGATTTATATTACTACATTTCTCCACCCAGCAGGGAACAGGATCATGTCTCAGTGTGTGACAGTCCCTGATGGGGTAATCCTCTTTGATGCTTAAAGGATAAATACCAGTTATACATTTAGCAGCGGAAGCCAGGACAATAGTAGAAGGACCCTACCCCCAAGGTTACTGTGCCTGCCCTTCTCTGCTGGGAGGTGGCTTCAGTCCTATCAGTTGAAGTTGGACACTTTTCCCCATTGAACTAGTAGGTCTAAAAGCCCTGCATCAGGGGCGGCAGGGACAGGCAGCCAGTGAGTATACCGTTCCCCAATCAAGGGTGTGGGGAGTGCTGGGTGCACAAGACATGGCACCATTTCCGCCCCAGAATGCTTCCCTGTCAAGCCCAAGGGCTTTGGGTCCCTGTATAACTGCTATGGTCACCCTGCAGTTCTTGGCACCTTTGGTTACGCCTATGTCTTATAAATCTTCCTCTCCATGGGATTCAGTAGGATGGAGTCATTAGGCGCTTGTATCTAATAGAATCCTGAGTTTGAGGCCCTTTTCTCCCCTCGAGTTCCCCAGCACCCTGCATATGTGTGTATGGCCTGTGTCATAAGGCAGCGAGACCTTACTAGTCATCTCACTCTTTAAAGCTGCTCAGGTGATCATAGAGGAGAGGGGCTGTGGACACAGAGAGAGAGAGAGGAGCTTGGAGCCACTAAACAAGGCATATTTACCTTTGGCTTGAGTATATTAGCTCTCCCACCTGTCTGTCAGTGTTTTCACTATACCCAGAGTTCTGGGTAAGGTCCTTACTGTTGGCACCACTTATGTAATCTTTGGAAACTTGCTGCCCTGTAGCCGCGATTACATCTCTTCCGCCCTTTACCCAGAAGACACTGAGCAGTGCCCAAGGCAGTATTCGGATAGTTTATTTCATTCCAGCCTCTTTCCAGTCAACCGCATTAATAGATAGCGCAGCGGGGAACTCTTACTACCTCCCTTGCCCACCACTTGGGCAAAAGCATTTGCTACCAGATTCCAGAAGCTCTCACTCAACCCACAGGGTCTCATCTTTTCTCTTTTAGAAAGCTGTGTCTTAGCATCTCATGCTTGTTGCCAGAACTGTCGGGGCCTGGGATTTTATTTTACCCTACTCACAAGCTGTTAGGCTAGCCTGTCACTGTTTTATGGATGCTGGCTGAGACACAGTCCTGGTTCAGAGACAAGGACTTTATTTCTCATGACACAGCGAGCAGGATGCACCATCAGTGCGTCAGTATCAGTTCTTCTTGCCCCCAAAGTCCCATGTGATGTTGTGGGTCTGGATGAGTGCCTGCACATGCAGCAGGTGCATCACAGTTGAGGAATGTTGACGGGGAGAAATCTGCTGTTTTGTAATAAGCAGGGTCGAGCTTTGTCCCAGAAGGAGAAGCCAACTCTTCACTAGTGTTGCTTGAGGTAGATATAACCTTGAGAAATGGCCTGAGTTAAAAGCAGGCAGGACCTTACATTCTTGGTGTACCCTGCAAGAGCTGGGGGAGAAAAAAGAACCAGAGAGGAGCTCTCTCCTGTCACGCATGCCTCAAAAACCAAAGGAAATGTGACTATTCCTACCAGACTTAGGAATTTTTTGAGTAATGGTATCACAATTCTTAGTATTTTTCCAGATGTCAGAACGAACCACAACTGTTGGAACGGTTAGATGGTGCCCAGCACGTGTGGGACTATAGAACTGAGCTATGTTATCTCCTTACGAGGGGGACATGACAGATAAAATTAATGTATTCATTGTGGAGATGACAAGAGAGCTCAGAGAGGGTGAGTGATTTTCCAGGTCATGCTGTTAGTAAGTGGTCCAGCTGGGACCGGATCTCTCTTCATGTGCCAAGCCGTGTGCTGAGCAATGTAGGAATTTTACTCTGTCGGATCCACTGAGGTTTTTTTTTTTTTTTAAACTATAAAGTTTTGGAAAAAGCATGTTTTGCTCCTTATATTGTGGGTGGGTAATAACTGCTCATGGACGCTCACTAGGAATGGACAGTTTCTAGAATGCCACTGTTCTGAGCTGCAGAGAGACACTGACAAACAGAAATAGCATCGCTCTGCCGGATATCGGGCTGAAGCTGTGAAGCCCTCATTTAGGGTGTGAAAAGCTTACATGGTTGTAGAAGGACAAGGATTTTCATGGTGTCTAAAAGCTAATGTATTAGAATCATCGATTGACTTGCAAAATAATTTGTATAATATGGAGAGATTTGTAGGCTTTTAAGTTAGTAAGACAGTCAGTTTTTATATACCAGTTAGTTCATTATAAGAAGATCAGTGCGGTCATAGTCAGCAGGTTAATTATTACGAGGTTGATGATCAAAATCTGACTCAGAAGCTCTCTCTGATCGCAGCCTCAACACAAATTTGATGGCACAAGTAATGGGGTTTCTGTAGCAAAGCTTGTCCTAGAGGAATAGAAGTTAGCAGACTTGGAAGAAAACTCTTACTACAAACCTTTCTGTGTTTTAGGAAACTCTGTCCTTTTAAAGTAAATAGAAATGCAAGGTAAAGAATAAATATAGATTTAACTTTTTTTTAAAAAAGATTTATTTATTTATTTATTTATACAAGCACTGGGTACAGTCAAAAGCACGGGAGGGTGAGAGAATTCACCAGAGCCAGAAAGGAGAACAGAACAGGCAGACTGACGAAGTACACTGCTGAGGGGAGCAGCGGGCGGCAGGAGAGGTCTGTGCTTCATGTGGGACCCTCGCCCTGCAGCCGGGGATCGAACTGGCACTGCAAAGGCCGCGGGCAGCTTCGCAGCCCAGCGCTCAACCGCTGCACCTCCGGGGAGGCCCTAGATTTAACTCTTTATGATAATTAGATGGTGAATATTTGCTAACCTTTCTCATCTATCCAAAGTAAGGTTAATGACCGACCTGCTTGAGGTATTGTGACCTCAATTTACTTGTGTCAAAAGCTTTTTTAAAAAATATTTTAAAAAAATTTTTAATATTTTTTTAAAAAACGGTGTGCATTGTTGTTTGTATTTAGGGAATATAGTGCTCCCGCCACTAAAGCACCCATAATCCACCACCAGAGTCCATTGTGCTCCCTACTTTGTTCTTGTCCCTCCCCTTCTGGATTGTTCATTCCTATAGCCAGTCTTCAAGAACTAGTGTTTAAGGGCCTCTCCTGGTGGTGCAGGCGGTTGAGTGCAGCCCTTTGAAGTTGTCCACAGCCTCTGCAGCGTGGGTTCAATCCTGGCTGGCCGGCGAGAATCCCACATGGTGAGGCAGACCTCTCCTGTCTCGCCTGCTGCTCCCCTCAGCAGTTTATTTCAGTCAGTCTGCCTGTTCTGTTTCCGGCTCTGTCTCTGGTGAATCCTCTCAACCTCCCACACGTCTGGCCTGTATCCCGGTTCTTGTATGTAAGAATTAAAAAAAAAAAAAAAGAGCTAGTGTTTAAGTTTCATAAAGCTTTTATTTTTTTTTTTAAACACAGATGTTCCCATTAATTGCTTGAAGCTCATAGCCTTTATTCTTTTTTTTAAAGATTTATTTATTTATTTATTTATTTATTTATTTATTTATTTATTTATTTATTTATTTATACAAGAACTGGGGTACAAACCAGAGACGTGGGAGGGCAAGAGAACTCACCAGAGACAGAGCGGGGAGCAGAACAGGCAGAACAATGGAAAACACTGCTAAGGGGAGCAGCGGGCATGACAGGAGAGGTCTGCTGCGCCATGTGGGAATCTCCCTGGCCAGCTGGGAATTGAACTCGCACTGCAGAGATTGTGGGCAACTTCACAGCCCAGCGCTCAACCTGCTGCGCCACCGGGGAGGCCTCATAGCCTTTATTCTTAACTATAATTTTAACCATGCTTTGTTAAGACTATTTGGGTTTTATGGTAAAAAATTCCTATTTCTCTTTCTCTTTTTCCTTTAGTTGGGATGAGACGCACTTTGGAAAAATGGGAAGTTACTATATCAACCGCACCTTTTTCTTTGATGTGCACCCGCCTCTGGGAAAGGTGAGCAGCAGGCAGACAAAGCAGTCTCCGAAGGTCCCAAGTCTTGATTCTGGATCTAATTTTTAGGCTTGTAGAACATCCCAGACCAGATGCTTTCTGGAATCCTTGGTCTTTTTAGGAGTCCTTTGGGCTTCGAAATGAAGAAAGAATTCATCAACTGATGGATGGATGAACCAAATGTGGAACATCTATACACTCAAATATGATTTAGCCATAATCATATCTGGAATGAAGTACTGACATATGCTGCAACATGGATGAATTTTGTAAACGTTATCCTAAGTGAAAGAAGTCAAACAGATGTCACAGTTATATGTGACTTTGTTTCTGTGTAAGAAATGTCCAGAATTGGCAAATCCAGAGCAACAAAAAATAGATCAGTGGTTGTCTGGGTCTGGAAGGAGGTGAGATTGGGTAGTGACTACAGATGGGTTTGGAGTTTCTTTTTGGGGTGATGAGTTGTTCTGGAATTAGTGGTGATGGTCACACAACTTTGTGAATATACTAAAAAACCACTGGGTCCTACATTTTAAAATGGTAAATTTTATGGTATGTGAATTTTGTTTCAATTGAAAAAAGAAACAGAGAAAAGGAATAGTTGCAAAAAGCAGAAATAGCTAAGGGGAGCTGATTTTCTACCAGGAAACAAAACTCCTTTCTCCTCCCCATTCCCAGCTTATTCCTTGATAATTAGAATTCCACCAATCAGAATTCATTTTACTCTTAAAAACATACACCTTTGAGAAGGCCAGTGAATCAGCCCTGTTCACACAGTCCTTTCTTCCTAATTGTAGGCTGAAGTCTTGGGCAATAGGGGCCAGGAATTTGCCTCTTCCTGAAGTGGGGCCGGGGCCCTGGAGTACTGGGGATGAGGCGGGGCCCAGGGGAGGTGGAATTGCCGTTGGTGGTAATGGGTTTAGGGACGCACCAGAGCATATGGTGAGGACCAGGGAGAAGGCCCCTGTAGGTGAGAGGGGTGGGCAGGGAGGGGGATATGGGCCTATTTCAAAAATGGGGCTGTGCCCCAGGAAGGAGTAAAAATTGTATGTCTCTTTTTCTCTCCTTTATAAGGCAACAGTAATAAACATAAAGTAATTGAAAATTTAGACTGTTCTAGTTAGTCTAGACACATTATCTTACATAATCTCAGAACAACACTATGACTTTTGTATTCTCATTGTATCCCAACTATTGTGTTCTCAGTTTTCAGATGGGGGCACTGGGAACAGAAAGTATGGTACTTTGCTTTAGGGTACAATATAGTAAGTGGCAGAGTCAGGGTTCAAACCGGGTCATAGAGTCTTCTCTCTTAACCATAACACCACATGATGAACTTGTTCCAGTGCTAGGAACACTTCTGATACTGTCATGGAATCAGTGAACAGAGTGCCCTGAATATTTGCCTCGGGCTGACCTCTGGTGGAGATCTTTCATTGGAAAGCCAGCCCAGTCTTTTAGCTGGGAACTTGCCTGCCCATTTTTGGAGTCCCCTGTTGCTCAGCACAGAGAAGATATGTTTGGAAAACACTGGCCAATTTGTTTTTACTCAAGCCTTCCCTTCTTCAGATCTGGCCCCTATTCAAAAAGGGAAATGTGAGGCTTCTTTTTAAGGCTACCTTCAGGGAGAATGGCCCGTCTGCCCCCCTAATTTCTCTCCTGATGGCTGAAAGTGAATGATGAGCAAATGGGAAACCTGGGAGAGAGAGCAAAGCAACTTACATAGGTTCTAAGGCTAAGCCAGTCAAGGAATTAAAAAACACTTTATATTGGTAAGTAGGAGGTTTTTCCTCTAATATTGAGGATAATGTCTGCCACTTAGCACTGACCTCCAGCCCTGGAGACCCGGAGGTTCCAGTCAGAAAGGTACTTTTTAAAAGAAATAAAAATGCCTGTGCACAGTAAAATACTTGGTTAGGAAGGAAAAGGTAAAAAGTTGCCTTGCCTCCATTCCTCCGAGGTAACCATGGTCACCTTTGTTAAGTTTCTTACATATCCTTTCAAAAAATTTTAATATAAGGAAAGCTGTAGACATTTATATTCATACACATGAACAACACATTATATATACAAATGAGATCAGACTAAAATTGTTTAGCAATTTGTATTTTAAACTTGCTGTATCTTGACTTCCATATTAGCACTTTCCTTCTTTTTAACAGCTATGTATAGTCCAATCATGCAGATGTGCCATAAATTATTTTGCCCCTCTTCAATTAGTGGATATTTATGTTATTTCCAGAGATACTACAATAAGTATCTTTATACACTTATCTTTTCATGATTATGTTAGCATATCTAAAAGATTCTCAGCAACAAAGCTGAAAAGTCAAAGGATGTGATATCTAATGAGTTTTGCTGCAGAAATATAAAATATATACTCCCACCCATAGCATATGAGGGCTTGCTTCCCTGTACAATTGCTGCACTGGTCTAATCATAATACTTTCCAAAATTTGCCAATTTGAGAGCCAAATCCTGGTATGTCATTGTTTTAATATGTGTATCTTTATAACTTAGGTTGAACATTTTTTTTTCAAATGTTATTTCCCTTTTTTTCCTAGTTGGTTGTTCTTTTTCTTACTGCTTTTTTTTTTTTAAAAGATTTAATTATTTTTATACAAGAACTGGGGTATGGGCCAGATGCGGGGGACAGTGAGAGGATTCACCAGAGAGAGAGCGGGGAGCAGAACAGGCAGACTGACCAAATACACTGCTGAGGGGAGCAGTGGGCAAGACAGGAGAGGTCTGCCGCGCCATGTGGGATTCTCGCTGGCCGGCCGGGATCGTACCCACTCTGTAGAGGCTGCGGACAGCTTCACAGTGCGGCGCTCAACCGCCTGCGCCACCAGGGAGGCCCTTTTTCTCTTATTGCTTTAAATGAGTTCTTAGGAAATTAGCTCAGGACTACTTTTAACCTGAAGGAAATTAAGAAGGAGCTGAATTTGTATTTTTTTTTAACAACGGGAACTGAATTTTAAGTTCATAGTGCTAGGTATTTTACCTACAGTACCTCCTCTAGGCCTAACAACCCCTGGCAAGGAGGAGGACTTATTACTATAGTTCAGAGATATTAAATATTGTCCGCAGTCAGAGAGCTAGAGTGTAAGGTGCTGAGATCCCACACATCTATGCATGCCTTTACTCTAGCAGACCTGCCAGAGCCTGGGAATTTATACTAACACCAGGCAGTTTGTCCTCCAAGGGGCTGGTAGGAAGTAGCATCCATTTGATTATCACAAGTCAGCTTTAGTTCCTCTAGGCATTTGGGTGGTTCTGTTTTTACAATACCTTATTTTGTATTTTAAAAATTATAGGGGTCCTGGGAGGTAAGTCTGCGTGCTGTCACCATGACTGCCTGAGTTTGATCCCTGGCCAGGGAGCTAGTCCACATAAGGTGCTGCAGACCTCCTGTCTCGCCTCCTGCTCCCCTCAGCAGTGTATTTCAGACCATCCGCCTGCTCTGCTCCCCACTCTGTCTCTGGTGAATCCTCGCACCCCCTGCAACTCTGGCCCACAATCCAGCTCTTGTGTGCAAAAATAAATAAAAAATTTTTAAAAATTAAAAATTATATTACATTAACTTCTGGACCCTGGGATCCCTACCCCCACCCTTTTTTTAAAAACAAGGCTTATAATCATTTGTTGCTGAAGTTTGACTTTTATGCCTTGAGTGACTCAGCTTACAGCTGCTCAGAGAAACAAGCAAGCTGGTTAGTGCTCCAGATCCAGGCTTCCTCAGCCAGGAGGGCTTTCCCGACACAACCAGTGTATCCTGGCCCTGCTCACAGTCTAAGGAGCACAGGGGTCAGGCTCGCACGGGCTGCGGCTCTCACAGATGCTTGGTTTTTGCTGACAGTTGCTTCAAATTGCTTGTATGGAAAAGAAAATTTACATTACTGACAGCCAAGGAAAGGTATAAGTGAAGATACTGACCCTCGACAATAGTTTGAAGAATTCACTCCCCACAATCTCAGTTTGTCGTTGATTTGCTCTGGTGTGCGATAGGCCAACGTTGCCTGCCTTTGAAATATTGGAACTAGAAACCAGTCTCTGGTCTTTGGGCCCTTTTCCTGTTGGGAGGTGAAGCTTTCTCTCTGGGGAAATGCATCTGTCTTTGTTTCCTCTTTCCCATTGTCTGTCCTTCTCCCTGTTCCCAGTCCATAGCGCCTTGGCCGCTTTTTTCCCTCTTCCTTCTGTTTTGTTTTTTTTTTAAGATCTTTATTTATTTATACAAGCACTGGGTACAGTCAGAAGCGCGGGAGGGTGAGAGAATTCACCAGAGCCAGAGCGGGGAGCAGAGCAGGCAGAAGGACCAAAGTACACTGCTGAGGGAGCAGCGGGTGGCAGGAGAGGTCTGTGCACCATGCGGGACCCTCGCCGGCGGGGATCGAACCGGAGGCCCTCCCTCTTTCTTCTGACTCAGGCCCTCACCTGTCTCTCAGTGGCCTTCTCCCAGGAAGCAGCCCCTCGCCTCCCCTGAGAACCGGGGTCTTTGCTTCATGGCTGTGGAAAGAAGGCTGACAGACAGTCCCTCACTGGCCCTGCCCTTCACATTGTGGGATTTTTTCTCTTCCTAAGCGTGCAGTCTACACTGCTTCCAGGAACTTGGCTTTAAAACAGGAGAGGATTTGTTTCAAGCAATGAGCTCTATAGACAAAAGACTCTTTACTCTGTAACAGCTGCTGGAGGAAATGTCACACTGGCCGCTGTTCTCTGGACAGTTGTCAGGGGAAGCCAGTTTGGGTGCAGCTGGAGGGAAGTTCAGGGAATGGAGGAATCTTCTCTCAAAGTTCTCTTTTTGTTTGTCTCCTTCCCTCAGATGCTCATAGGTCTTGCTGGTTACCTGAGTGGATATGATGGCACCTTTTTGTTCCAGAAGCCTGGGGACAAATATGAACATCACAGCTACTTGGGAATGAGAGGAGTAAGGCTCGCTGACTTTATCTAACCTGACTGAACCCTGGATTCACATTCAGTCCGAAATGTTAACAGTTGGAAGCCTAGGATTAGTGGCAGGTGTAGATAATGGGGCTCTGGGGTGGGAGGGAGGGAAGGGTGACTGGACCCACACCCTGTGGAGAGATTCAGAACTGGGTGGGTGAGAAGGGAAGGGAAGGTCACAGGTAAGATTGAGGTTACATGTAGTGGAACAAGCCCACCCTGTCACCTTTTACCCCACCCATGTGAGGTTGCAGACTTCAGGTTGGAGAACAGCCTGGGACCTCGGTAGCCAGGATTCGTCTACAGCCCCAACGTCGGCCTCAGTGGTTCCTATTTTCCTTGGAAAGTTTCAAGCACACACTAGGGATTTTCCAGTCTTTTAAGGGAGTCCATGTATTTGCTCTGATTCTCAATACCAGCCTTGATGGAACATGACAGGCCTGAACACCCAACTCTGTGGGGCCCCTGCTAAGTTAAACCAGAGCAACTGACCTTCAGCACAGTGTCTCAGAGCAGCCTGCGGTGACAGAGCCTCCTGTGAGGAGCTCAAAGCACATTAGATAAATGTTCTGTCCTTATTTGGGCTAATCCTTAAATGATTTGCGTGGTCGTATCATACCATATTAAACAAGGAGTGCCCCTCTCAAGTACATCTGTTAAGAGGTTTTTTGTCTTTTAATGACATTTGAATATCTCATAACATACATAATTGAATATAGGCTGGATTTGCTATGGAAGTTGAGAAAGCCCAAACAGAGCACCCTCATTCCCTTTCACACCAGGACACATTGCTTTCTGTTGACGAAAAGTGACAGCCCAATTGTGAGCATTTCCATTCCCCTGAGCTTGTCTATTTAGTTTTGATGGGCAGAGAAGAGGGATGGCAAGGAGGCTGGTGGTTCAAAACAAAACAAAACATTCCAGATACTGACATGTCAGGCAATCTTTTTCAAAACCAGAATATAGCCTCTAGATTGAAGAGTGACTTCTGGTGTGGTTGAAGGAAGCGCCATGGGAGAAATAAAATAAGAATTCTCTGAAATTGTGAAATACCTTCAGAGATGTCTTTCTCAACTTGTGCCCACAATTTCTTAATAGAAACTGTACTTTTTATCAAGTATTTTGTATGTGTAATAAAACCTTGGCTCATTTAATCTGTGAGTGAAGCCTATGAGTTGGAAACTCATTACTTTTCACATTCCACAGATGGGAAGGCTGTCACTGCATGTTCCAGAGTTGTGACTTTCTCAAGGTCATAGCCAGAAGTGATGGGGGCAGTACAGCCCCAGAGCCCCCCACTTGAAGCCGTTGTGTTGTTCTGCCCACACCTTCCTCGCTGAACTTTGCTGGATTCATGTCAGGGCACAAGCTATTTGATTTGGTTCTTCCCTGTTTAAATGCCACTTTGTTATTTATACTGTTTAGGTGACTTTAGGTCACCAAGTCATGCTTTCCTTGCGGTCCTCTGTCCTAAACGTTTGTTTAGATCAAGATAATTAGCTTAACCAGTTACTGGATTGATTGTCTTTTCCTTCCATAGTTCTGTGCGTGTCTGGGTTCCCTGCTGATCCCCTTTGCCTACCTCACGGTGTTGGAGCTGTCCAGGTCCCTTCCGGCAGCACTGATCACGGCTGCCCTCCTCACCTTTGGTAGGTAGCTTCATCCCACACTTCTTGCTGCGCTGACTCCACGCCATGAGCGTAGCTGGAAATCAGTGTATTCCAGATCCTATCCATGGGCTCAGTTCTCGAGTGACTTTAGGATCGGGGAAATGTGTTACACATCTTATTTTATACACTAGTCATATATACATGTATATATATGAATATATATATGAATGCTTGTATGTAGTAAGTTTTTATATTATTGGAGGGTAGAGTTGACTTGGGTAATCCCGAGGACTAGGTTATCTCTGAGTTATCCACATTTGGTTTTGGAATAGATAAAAAGATAAATTTGTATGTGTGTGGGGGGGAAGGAGGCTTACAGTTCTGCTTCTCTTAGGTTACTATCAAGATTAGTTTTATTCTTTAAGTTAATTTCAACTGGATACAAGGATAGATGTCTCTAAAGTAGCTGGGTGGTAGGGGATAGCAAAATGGGAATTTAAACATTTACTGTGGCTACACCGCCTTGGAGACATGAGAGTTGATGCTCTGTGACCCTTGTTCTCATGAAAATGAATGCATGACCTCATAGAGCTTAATATTTGAAGAAGTCCAGACCAATTTAAATGGGTATTTTGGGGGTGTTTCTGGCTTTGTCTTGACAGATATGTTGCAAGATTAGAGGGTCTCGCTGTAAGGGGCTGGTTGGTGGCTTTTCCCTTGCCTCTTTAATTTCTTTCAATTCTTCATCCATTCAGTCATTTATTCATTTTTCATTCAACTATTTTTCAAGCATCTACCCTGTGCCAGGTCACTTTTCTTGGCCTCAAAGGATGCCCTGACGAGACAGCCTGCTTTCATGGAGCACGCCACTAGTGTGGCAGACAGGAAATAATCAAGTTAATTAATAAATGTAACATCTTAAGCCATAAGTGCTGTGGCAAAAATAGAGTAGGGTAAAGGATAGAGTGATGGGAAGTGAGTCACTTTTAGGGTGGTCAACAAGGCGCTCCCTGGAGGTGGCTTTGAGCGGAGACTAGAGAAATGGAAAAGATTGAGCCGCATGGAGATCCAAGGGAGAGTGTTCAGGTGGAGGACAGCAGGTGCAGTGGCCCCGTGCCAGGCAGCCCCTGGCGGCTCCCAGGCACAGCGGAGGGCCAGTGATGCAGGGCTGGTGAGAGACAGAGTGCACTGGGAGCAGGCTGGGTAGGTAGGGAGACCACTCAGCAGCTCGTTAGTCTGTGTGAGATGGGAAGACATGGGCGGATTTAAGTAACGACATGCTGAAATGAAATTTAGTTTAAAAAAATCACTTAGGCGCTTGTATGGAGAATCAATTCCCAACAGAGACTTCATGTGAAATGTCCTGGTAGAGGCTGTTTATACCCATGTTGGGTGGGTGGGGCCCCCTTTTTGATGATGGAAATGGGGAAGAACCCTTGTCTCAGGACTGCTCTGAGTAAATGATGGTTCTTTTTGGCTCAAGGGCCTAGAAGCATTGTGAGATACTTTGTTGTCATGGGGCTTTGATATACCCCAAAGCTGTTTCTTAGTACTGGGGTGTTTAGTTCTCCAGGGGACTCATCTCTGATTCTGCTTTTTGACCACTGAGCTCATGTTTTTCAGACACAGGATGCCTCACTCTGTCCCAGTACATCCTCCTTGACCCCATCTTGATGTTCTTCATCATGGCTGCGATGCTGAGTATGGTCAAGTACAACTCCTGCGCTGACAGGTCAGAAATACCATCTTGGGGGGTTGGGGCAGAAGCTCCAGAATTTCCATAATGGCCAGGGATGGGGTGGATGTCTAGACACATACGTTAAAACTGAGTTTAAGGCAAAAACACTTTTTGTTTTTAACTTAGATTGTACATTTTTGCTTATAAAAATAGATTGTTTTGCTTTACGTGAGACTAAGAAATGTCAATTAACTTTTCCAAGAGTAGTGTTATTTTTACAGTGGGGTTGATTTGGGTAGGAATGTGTGGATATTATGTAGGGATACTTTCTCCCACCCATCAGTTTCTAAGCCATCCCTCAGCACATATGTGGGTTAAGAGATCCTGGGGCAACTTTATGCTTTGTATTCTCCATCCCAGAAGGAAGGGTACCAGGATAGAGGCTATCTGGGAGCAGTTTATCCCCCTGCCCTAGTCCTGATGATGGAAATAATGTCTGTAAAGGTTGGCTTGAATGTTCCATACCAATCCAGAAGATCCCTGCAGGTCCTCATCAGTTCTACAATTGTTCTGGAAGACCTGGTCTTCTTCCAGAATAGTCTTTTCCATATGATTCTTCTCTGAGAGAGTAGACTAGATCATTCATTCAGTTGACACCAAGAGAGCCGACTCCTTTTAGGCTCTCCCAGAAGTCAGCTTCTGGGGAGCCCGGTAAACTACATTGTGCTAATCAGACCTGACCTGGTGACCAGCAGCTCTCACTGCCTTTGGGTTATCTTTTATTTCTGTCTCACCCTCTCCACTAACCATTTCTTGAATGCATGCTGTGTGCCAGGCACTGTGCTAGGAGCTGGAGGTTCAGAGATGGAACGTATTGGAGGGGGCTGTGGAGGAACAGGCAAGGCAGCTGGGTAAACAACAGCAGCACTGTGGACTTGGTGCTCTGTGTGCACCAAACCTTGGAGCCACTGCCATGGCTAGAACCATGTTCCACTGCTTGCCAGCTGTCACTTACCTCTCTGTACTTAACTTCCTCATGTTAAGGAGAGGATAATGATAGAACCTGCTTCCTGAGGTGATAGTGAGGGGAAGGAGGTAATATGTAGAAAGTGCCTGGAAAGTGCCTGACACATAGCAAACACTCGATAAATGCTGGCGTGTTGTGAGCTCCCGAGTGGCACAGGAGAGAACTAACTGAGTCCAGCGATTTCTCTGGATCTCTTTTTCCTTCCACTTGATTGGTCATTCCTGAAGAATAAGCTCCTTGATTTCTGTAAGCCCTGTGCTTAGCCAGGAAAGCTGCGGTCCCTCTCCAGCAGTACTCATTCTTAGCCCCTGCTTCCTGCAGCTTCAGGTTTGTCACGGACCATGGACTCCTGAGCCAAGATACGGTCCCCTGAGGTTGGGAGCCTTAGAAAGAGGGCACAGCACAGCCTCTCAGAGTCCATGCCCTCCCTTTGCTTGTGCCTTTGAGTTTGGTTCCAGCCAAACTGAACTCTGTGTCTTCTTGATTTTCAGGCCCTTCTCTGCCCCCTGGTGGTTCTGGCTCAGCCTGACTGGCATTAATCTGGCTGGTGCTTTAGGGGTCAAGTTTGTTGGCCTCTTTATCATCCTGCAAGTGGGTTGGAACACCGTTTCAGAACTTTGGCAGCTGTTTGGAGACCTCAGTCTTTCATTGGTGAGAACACAAGCACTTGTAGAAATGTCTTGCTCCCTGGGATTGCTTGGCAGAGCCAGCAGCCTTTCTCCACCTCTGCTGTAGCAGCTGAGTGGCCACATTTGGGTCTGAGGTGGGCTGGATTCGGCTGTTGTCTGTGGGCAGCCTGACCACACGAAGTGGCCACCACTGAGAGGCTGAACAGGTAAAGGAGGGGATGGACTTGGCATTCTCTTTTGGCATCTGTTTCCTTTTGTTCTTAAAATGCTCTATAAACTACCCAGGGGTTTCTGTCCAGCTGGGCTCACTCCAAATATGTGGCCGGCTCACATATGCTTGGACTTTAGGTAGGGTGCGTGATATGACCTGAACAAACAGTTCTTTTTCTTCACTCAGGCTCCTGAGCTTTGGAGACCAGTAAGGGCCTTTAGGGTTTATTACAGTACTATTTAAGAACTGATTCTTAAATCAGGCATTAAATGCTTTACTTTCATTATCATTATCATACTTATCATTATACTTATTTATTCCTCATTTCAACCCTATGAAGCAGGCATTTGTTACCTCTTTACAAATGAAGAAATTGTGACCTGGAGAGGTAATAACATTCCCAAGGTCATACAAGTAGTAAGAGGTAGATTTAGGGTTCACACTTGAGTGAGGCGGATTCCAGGCCTGAACTGTTTTGCTTTATAATGCTGCCCTATCTCGTTCCCTAGTCCATTCAGAAAATATAGACAAACCATTCACTAAGTGTGAAACACAAAATATGAAGATGAATAAAATAAGAGTTCTGCCCTTGGAGACCATGGGAAGAGAGGAAATAAGTAAACAGGCAATTACAGGACAGTCAGCGGGTGCAGTGAGAGCACAGAGGAGGGTACCAGGCAGTCTCGGGAGCTCCAGGAAGGCTTCTGGGAGGAAGGTGAAGCCTGAAGTTGAGAAAAGGAGCAGGTATCTATGTGATGGGACAGGCAGCAGAGGACTGACCATGTTTAACCCCTGGTTGTGCTTGGGTGGTGGGGTGTTAGGGGAAGGCTTAAGGTTTCCAGATAGTCTTTCTTGTTGGCCATTAGCTTTTCAATTTTTTATGATTGTGTCTTACACGTAAAAACTTACATATAATGTGCATATCGGTTGTAAGGCATAATACAGTGCCCTGTGCCCTCTGTGTCCGCAGGTGACTGTGGGGAAGCACCTGATTGCCCGCGTGCTGTGCCTCATCGTGCTGCCCCTGGCTCTCTACATGGCCACTTACGCCGTTCACTTCATGGTGCTGAATAAAAGGTACAACCAGAGCCTTTCCAGCATTATTCTGGTCCTCCTCTTGCCTCTAAGTCATGATAGGCCCTGTGACCTCCTGTGTCTGTGGGTGGGATAATAGCAGAGGGCCCCAGGGTTTTTCTTCTTTTTGTTTCCACCTGTGTTCTGTCTTTTGGATGAATCCAAGGGACTCAGAAAGGCCAGCACCTTGGCCCAAAGCAGAGGAGAATTTTTCACAGCCAAATTGCCCTTATCCCTAAATGAAGCCCTTACGCTTAGCAGAGATGGGCCTTCAGAGGATGCAGTTGGAGAGAGGATGATAATAGTAACTCCAGCAGCCACTCCCATTTAAAGAGTAGCAGCCAAGTCTCAGGGTCTATGTTCAGCACATGTTATATGTTGCACATGTATGCATGTATACATTATTTCATTTAATTATAATCATTCCTTAGTTCTTTTGATCTTTTAAAAATTCTCAATTAACAAATGAGCAACTGAGACAATATAAGGTTCTGTGTGTGCCAACGGTCACGTGGCTGGTAAGGGACTGAGTCAGGTTTGGACTCCGGTTTCTCTGGCTCCATCAGCTGTCTCTGCCCCACAGCGTCATGCTGCCACTCCTGCTGTACTTCTTTTAAAGTAATGGAGCAGAGCTTTTCCTAAGACTCCTGGGAAATCACAATTTTGCTCCACTGACTTGGCGCTCTTCTGCTCCTCCCCTCCCCTCAGTGGTCCTGGTGACGGCTTCTTCAGTTCTGCCTTCCAGGCCCGCCTGTCAGGAAACAACCTGCACAATGCTTCCATCCCTGAACGTGAGTGTCTCTTGGCCATCACAAAGGTAGAAGGACAGGTGGGTTTCCTGGGAGTTGAGTTGGAGAAGACAAGGATGATAAACTGAGTTATTTTAGTCTGTGGACGGCAGAGTGGGAGAAAGGTCCAGTTAGATCTGGCCCCAGTGCTCAAGAGAGGGAATTGGGGCACAGGAAGTGCAGAGGAAAACACCCTGAACCATAACTTCTCCACTGTATCTGTAACATCAAAAGTAGCTCTGTGGAAAGACCAATCAGAGAATCTGGTGAAAGAACAAGGTCCTTCACAGCCAGCGGTCACTGTCCACCACGGTGTTCTTTGACCAACATCCTTTCACTTCTTCACAGATAGTAAATGAACAAGCATCAGCCACATAGGAGGCTGTGGATGGATGCCCTCAGTATAGCATCTATGTCGGGCCCCACATGAGGTGACTGTGTTGAGTTTATAATAAAGAGGGAAAACAGCAGTGAGGATTGAAGGGTGTGAGAGATTACTTCTGCTGGGGCTGAGGAGGGGATCAGAGGTACACAGAGTGAGTTGCCTTGGAGCCAGGCCTTGGAAGAATCAGTAGATGTCAAGGGATGGAAAGGCTGGATAAGGCACAGTGGGCAGAAGGCATATCACAGTCAAGGCCAAGGACAGGGCAAAAGTCAAGTCAATGGTTATATGCAGAGAAGTACTGGAAGATAAGGTTGAAAAGATAGGTTGGGCCTAAATTATGATTGGGTGGAGTGTCTGGATGGGATGTTTGACTTCTTTAAACAGATAGTGGAGACCTGGTAAAGGTCTTTGAGCAGGAGGCAGCCAGGAAGGCTGTGCTGTGCTGTAAGGAGATGACCCTGATGTAGGATGGCTACAAGTGGAGGGGAGTGGAGAACGGGGGGCATCCTCTGGAGCTGTTGCGGGGTCTTGAGCTGGGCAGGGTGATAGGAGCCACGGGGGTAAGGCAAAGGAGCATGTTTCAAGGAGATTGTACATGGACAGGGAGAAAGGAAGATGTCACTGAAGACTTGAGTCCAGGGGACTTTTCCTGGAGGCAAGGATTACGTACGTCTGTCAGTCTCTTGTGGCTTACACAGTGCCTGGAACACAGAGGGCCTGCCAAATGGGAAAGAACGAGAAATAGGAAAGCAGGTGAAAAAGTTGGTTTGGAAGGGCAGATTCCACATTAGAGATGCTGACTTTGAGTCCCTTGGGGGATTGTGTGCAGTGGAGCCAGTGGATGCTTGGGGTCGATGCTTTCAAAGCTGACTCAACCAGGTAATTGATGCCGTGGCAGTGGCTGTGATCTGTAAGGAAACTAGGATGAGGAAGGGAACGGGGCCTAGGTCAGGCCACTGCAGAAAGCAGGAGGTTGGAGAATGAGAGAAGAGGATAGAGAAGGGGTAGTCCATGAAGGGGAGAGGGAAGAAGGGGGGCAGAGAGCATTTTAAGAAGCAAAGGTGGTCAGCAGTATGTGGGGCTGCATATGTTGACTGGAATAAGAACTCAGAAAAGTGGAGCTGTGAGATTAGCAGAGTCCTACTCATTATTTAGAAGTCCTAATTCAGCTGGGATCTCTTCCTTCAAGCCACCCTCTGCTCACTCCTTGGACATGAAATCATTGCCCTGCTCTGTGCTCCCACCAGAGCACATGGTCACACCTTTGCTGGCGCACTTGCCCATTGTCCTGAGCTTGTCAGTGTAAAGCCACCTTCTCTGAAACTATGCTCTTCCAGGCCTGCAGCCACAGTGTAATGGGCAGATTCTGTTGACCAGATGAATGAACCACGGAGGATAGGAGTTGACTAGCACTGGCGGAGTGAGGCCTGTTTCTTTGGAGTGGGGAGTGGTGGGGCAGCCAGAATCTAGGCGACTGAGAAGGTGGCCAGTAATAAGGAAATAAGGCTTCCCAATGGCCAAGCCTCCAAGAAGGGGGGACGCTCTTGGGTAAGCTATTTACTCTGTTGCTGTCTTTTAAATTCAGAGTAAAAAAACAAACAAACAAGACATAACCCCAAAACACCATTGAACGGTTACTTCAATGGCACTAGATTTAAAGGGAAGAAAGATTATATAGTGAAAAGTTGATCTTCACATCTGTCATAATATTATATCTCAGAGAACATTCCAGCTGAGGACATAAAACACTGCTTCCTTCTTTACTCCCCTGAGTGTATGTGTAGACCTTGACTGAAGGACAAGTTGCTTCTAATCTTTTGCACTTATAAACAATTCTTTGATAATAATGCTGCTAATACCCAACTTCTTAACATTCCTACGAGGGGGTGCTGGGGGCACCAGTGAGACCCTGTAGTGAGCTCCATTTTGGGTGGACTCTGGGAGTGAGAGGGCAGCTGCGTCCTGCTTTAGGCAGTCCTGGGCCCCGTGCAGTTTAGGGGTCAGTGCATCCTGTGGCTTCCGAGGCCCCTCCAGGGTAGCTCTAGCCCTTTACCAGCTCACACCCTCTCTCTTTCGCCCAGACTTGGCCTACGGCTCTGTGATCACTGTGAAAAATCTACGGATGGCCATTGGCTATCTCCACTCCCACAGTCACCTCTATCCGGAGGGCATCGGCGCCCGCCAGCAGCAGGTCAGTGAGCTTTTATTGCACTTACATTGCCCCAGCACCAACCCATTGGCCAGACTGAAGCCGCCCCTTTCTTGCCTCCTGTCCTTGGCCTGCGCTGTTTCCCCTGCTTCACTTTCTTCCTCCTGCACCCTTCTCTTTCCCCTGACCCACTCCAGCTTCTGTAATCTGTGCTATTCCTTCTGGCCACTGTGACCCCCTATCCCTGAGTGAGTCTCTCTCATAGGAGCGACTTTCTTGACACCCTTTACAAGCCTATGTGCGAACCCTGTTCATATCGGGTTGCTTCTTCTTCCCGCCTCTTTGCTATGTGACTGCCAGCTCCTGCGAGGCTCACATGCTCGGCACAGGGCCTGGCACAAGAGTGGATGATGAGTGAAGTATAGTGGTTATTAACTGAGATGCGTGTGGCCCTGTGCTCAGAACTGAGCCTGGTGATAGAGTCAGCTTTTCACAGGCCTTGTCCTAGGCCAGCAGAAACTATTGTACAGCACGTTTTGTGTAATAATAGCTTGTCCTGTGGACATACCATCATGTTAAGTGTTCCTCCGTTATTGGACATTTATACTCTTTCCAGATTTTTGGCATTAGATTGTTGCAACATTACAGGGGTGTGCATGTGTATACACACACAAGTAATTTTTTAATCAGTACACAAAATGACTATGGGTTAAAATTTTAGGTATCTCTGGTGAGATATTTATGGAGCATTTTGGTTTCATTTGACCACATTCTAGAAAACATGATGTGAATTTTTCATTTAGAAAGTTTGAGCCATGGTCTTAATTACTTTTTGAAATGCGCTATATCCTCTATGTTCTGGAGACCGTTACACAAGCTGTAATGGTTCCTTCCTTTGGAGGCTGGAACTTTATTCATTTTATTTATTTTTATTTTTATTTATTTATGCATATTTATTTATTTAATTTATTCATGCATATTTATACAAGAACCCCAATTCAGGCCAGAGGTTTGGGGGAGGGGTGAGAGGATTCACCAGAGACAGAGTGGGAACAGAGCAGGCGGATTGACTGAAATACACTGCTGAGGTGAGCAGTGGGTGAGTCAGGAGAGGTCTGCTGCACCATATGGGTAAGCTCCCTGGCCAACTGGGGATCAAATTCGTGCTGCAGTGGCTGCGGATGGCTTCATAGGTAGCGTCTTAACCTCTTGTGCCATCAGGGAGGCCCCTGGAGGCTGGAACTTTAAAGATAAAGTTGAAAGACACAAAGAGAGGAATCAAAAATGTTCTTGTGGATAAGACTTCCTAAATGCAAAGAAAGTAGAGACTCCCACTCGCTAATGCTACTTCTGAACCCCATTGGGGGTCATGGCCCCTCAGCTTGGTGGCTGGGGGTTCTGAAAGACATTTAAGCCACACTGGTTTGCTATTGATTGACCTGTGGCCAACCTTGCTGACAGTGATGGTCTTTCTCTCTCCCACCCCTTTCTTCCTCCCCAACCCCACTCAGGTCACCACCTATTTGCACAAGGACTACAATAATCTGTGGATTATCAAGAAACAAAACACAAATGCAGGTAATGTGGTAGGGAACTGATGCTTCTTGTGTTATTACTTTGAGTCTCCTTAATGTTGATCTTTCCTCGAAAAGAGTGATACTGAGCTGGAACGCTGCATATTCTTTAACAACATCTGTAATGATCTCAGCTAGCCTTTCAACAATTACTTAGTGAGCACCTGCTGTGTTCCAAGTATTATTGTCAGCCCACGAAATAAGCAGTGAGCAAGACGGATGAGATCTCACTCTTGGAGCTGTCATTTTGAGGCCAGAGAACCAGGCCAAGACTCAGACTTAATCTAGAATTGGTTCTCTCGACATGCCGCTTGGGGCTGCTGAATAGCCCAACACTGGGCACCAGGTGACAGCTCTCGCTTCTTGTTCAGAGCATGCCACACCTCGCAGACCCCAGCATATGGTGCAGCTCAAGTCACTGTGCTTGCTCCAGTGCTGCTGCCCACTGCTTACCCCTGGCCTGTGCCAGTCAGCTGGGCATCTGAGCCCCCCCAGTCCTGCGGCTGGGCTTGTTCAGTGGGTGCTTGGGCCTTCACCTGATGCCTGCTGATGGACTCCCCCTGACTGGGTTGGGCAAAGCTGCTCTGAACACACCTGTGGAGCTCTTGGGGCTTTATGACTAGGGCTATATTTGGATCTTCTTCTCTTTGGTCAGATAGCCTGTTACCTGCACCTTTGCCTTTTGCTGCAGCTGAGAGGAGCTCACTGATTGTCTATGCCACAGCTATTCTCTGTCTCCTCAGCAAGTACCACCTGGCTCAGCCTGTCTAAGTCTGCTGCACCACAGCCTTTGTGGGGGAAGTGGGCGGCTACTATCTAAATTTGCCTTCTTTGTTCCTTTCCACACCTCCTCTGATTGCTGTGGATTTTAGCCTAGAAATGTGGCATACACAATCGCTGCCTTCGCAGTCTACTCCTCAGTCACAGATGATGACGCCACTCCATAGGGTCTGTTTCTGCACCTTGTGATACTGGTGTTGATTGTGTTCAGGTCCAGCAGGCCAGGCGCAGGTGGCCTGCCACAGTGAGGGGTGTAGGGAGACCAGCTTTACTTCTAAAGCCACAGGGGCACAGCTCTGAACGTCGCTGGCTGGTTATTCTTTTGTGACTTCTGTGTAAAGATGGGTGCATTTCACCCAATCAACTCAGGATTTATTTGACTGTAGAGATCTTACAAGCACTTTGGGGTTGGGAACTGTGCGTACGAAGGTCTCTGTGTTCTTAATGGCCATAAACATCCTTCCCCTCAAGTCCATATGAAATAAAACTTCCTTCCCAGTTGACGTATTTGATTTGTCATCTTGCTGATTAATCTTTTTAAGAGAACTTAAAAGGCAGAGTAGGAATGGGTGTCTCCACAGCCGAGTTCTCTGATTCTCATGAGAGCCAGTGATTTGTGCTGGCAGATTTGTCTCTCTTGACCTCAAGTGTTAGTGTGTCACTGCTGGAGACAGAAATCTTCAAGGACCCTCCGTGTTGCTCTGATTACTGCCATGTCCTTTTCCATTGTCATTGCCTTTCCAGATCCTGCTCAGTCTTGATTGCTGATGAAGACAAGTAGTCTCTCTCATCATTTTATTTTCCTCTATTGCCAGACAACCACTAACAAATTTTGTAGGGCTTAAAATTTGGTCTGAAAGAGAGCCAGACAAATGGTCATTTACATGGATTAATTTTTGGAACACTGTATTTGTACTGCTAAGAGGAAAATCTTATTATTTAGCTTTCCAGCTTAAAAATCACCCAGTGGGGGCTTCAGTGCTTTTCAGATAAAGGACCACGTTCCTAGCCTGGCGTACAGGCTGCCTCCTTGTTCACATCCTCGTCTGTTCCCACTCTGCTTTCTGAACGTGTGAAGCCATTTACCGTTGATCAAGTTGAGTTTTGTCCTTTCCTACCTCTGTACTCTTACTTGTTCCTCTGACAATATTTCCCCCTCTTTTAAGAGTCTCTTCAATCATCATCTCATCTTCACCGTTTCTCCACCCTCTGAGATAGTTAGGGACCCTCTCTCTTTGCTCTGACAGTGCTGGTTTTGTTGGTTTTTTTTTTTTTTGCATAGAAGAACTGGGGTATAGGCTAGAGGTGCAAGGGGTGAGAGGATTCACCAGAGACAGAGTGGGGAGCAGAACAGATGGATTGTCTGAAATACACTGCTGAGGGGAGCAGGGGGGAGACAGGAGAGGTCTGCTGTCACAGTGCTCTGTTAGTATCTCTAGCACGTACCACGTGGTGCTATAGCTCTGACCGGTAGGCCAACAATTAATACTAACCTAAGGAGTGAGCGATTTCAGATATCAATGCTTGTTTCTTCTTGGCAGATCCCTTAGACCCTTCATTTCCAGTGGAGTTTGTAAGACATGGAGACATCATTCGACTGGAACACAAAGAGTAAGTAAATTTGCTTTTTGAGCTAAATAAGGTGTGGGCACCAAAGGTTGGGAGTTCTTTAAGGCTGGAAATAAACAGTAGTCAAATTTGGATGAGGTTCTAGTAAATGGAACAAGTCTGTGTGCTAGAATGGGAGGATTATTTTATGAAGGTTGATAAAATAAGCAGGCCAGCCTTTGCCTGCCTGTTCTGACTTTGGGGAACTTTAAGTTTTGAGAGTATTTTTCACTTTCTCTTTTCCTAGAGGGAAAAAGAAAACAATTTGAGTTGCCCAAAGCTGCTGCTTAAGTGGCTGCCTATAGAAAGACGTAGGAGTCTGTTTCTGAGAATTTGGCAAGCTGGTATATTTACCCAGTGTTCTCTCTGAGGATGAGTAGAAATGATGGAATAATATAAGCTTCTTAAAAGCATCAAGGAGCTAACAAGGAAGTAAAGAATTTCTAAGCCAATCTAAGTGGAAGACGGAATCCAGAGAAATAAGTAGGACACAGCCTCTGCTTCTGCCTTTATCCCACAATCTTGCGTTTTGATCTGTGGTTTGGGCTGCTTCCTGAGAGGAGTTTTAAAGTTAAAAACTCCATATTCACCCAAAGGGGTAATTTATTAAGTGATCCTTCCCCCCAATTTGGAGCCCCCACAGACAGGGTAAAGGTAAATCTGCTCTATCCACCTGTGCCCAGGAAAAGTGATTTTGGTATCTAGCAGAGCTGTGGGAGGGCTGGTGTGGTGGGGTGGGGTGGGAGGGGATATTACCTCTGGCTCCTGAGAAGTTGTAACTGCCAGTTACCTTCATGTGGATTTGTAGCCCAAATGCTTTTCTCCTGGAGGGCTCAACATCTTGAAGCCATGAATTTAAATGAATACGATCCTCCAAAGTGGTAATGTCTCCTAGATGCCTGGCTAAAAAACAAATGTAAATTTTCTTTTGGGGAAGACATTGTCATCCATGCCCATAAATAGTTTCTCAGTGACAGTGAGTGGTACACAGTAAAAAATAACTAAGCACAGAAGGAAATAGGGCACTCTGTACAAGAACAAATAAACAATAGACACAGAAGCAGCCCTGCAAACATTTCATATAGTAGAATTATCAGATACAGATTTTTTTTAAAACAGTGATTATAAATAGAAAGACAATGTATATTTTTTTTCCTAGTGAGGACTGGGGATACTTAACATATTTATTTTATTTTTATTCCCACCACAACCCCTTGTATCCTCTTTGACCCTTTCTCTCACCTCCCTCCAAACCTCAGTGACCTCACTTCATTTATTAATGATTGCTTATTTCATAAGTATTTCACTTAGTTGAAGCATTTGCTGTGTAAATGTCCAGTATTTGTCTTTGTCATTTTGACTATATATAATTCCCTCAAGCTCCTTCCATTTGCTATTAATGGCAACATTTCATCTTGCCTCATCGCTGAGTAGTAGTCCATAAAGTGACTAGACCACATCTTCCTCATCCAGTTTTTTTCCTATGGGCATTTAGATTGCTTTCCTTTCCCAAGTATTGTAAATAAACGTTGGGGACCTTATAGTTTTGTTTTTTTTTTTTTTTTTTTTTTAGTGAATTGATAGTTTTGCATTCTTTGGAAATTGTGGTTTTTTTCATTTCTATTTCATTTATTTCTGCTCTTATTGCCATTCTTTTGTTTGTTTTGTCATTTTGTTGTTTGCATCTTCCTATTAAGTTTTGTTTAGGTTCCATTTCTGTTGTCCTCTGTGTTATTTCTATTGATTTTTGTTTGATGGTCCTGTTGAGGTTATTATGTAATGGACTACTTTTGTGGCTCTTTGGATTGTTTGGTCTTAAACTTGTTCTGATGGGACACGTTACTCTTCGGTGATGTATAAAATAGGCGTCTGTTACCTTTATATTTGTTTTTCTGCTGCTTTGTAATAACCCCTTTCTTATTTCATGTGCAGCTTGGGGTTGATAAACTCTTAGCTTTTCAGTGAGGCTCCCTACCCTTCCTTCTGTCTTAATCTTGCAGGGCAAAGGATTCCAGCTGAACATCTTTTCTTTGAGTACTTTAAATATCTCCTCCCATCCCTTCTTGCTTGTCAGATTTCTTTTTTTTTTTTTTTTTTAAAGATTTATTATTTATTTATTTATTTGTACAAGCACTGGGTACAGTCAGAAGCGCGGGAGGGTGAGAGAATTCACCAGAGCCAGAGCGGGGAGCAGAGCAGGCAGAAGGACTGAGGTACACTGCTGAGGGGAGCAGCGGGCGGCAGGAGAGGTCTGCACGCCATGTGGGACCCTCCTCCGGTGGCCGGGGAGCAGCCGGGGATCGAACTGGCGCCGCAGAGGCCGCGGGCAGCTTCGCAACCCAGCGCTCAACCCCTGCGCCACCGGGGAGGCCCCGCTTGTCAGATTTCTAATGGAAAGTCTATGGATGTTGTTCCCTTACAGGTTACTTTTTTTTCTCAATGTTTTTAATATTCTGTCTTGTCATCGCCTTTCAGCATTTTTGTTATAATGTGTCTTGGAGTGTGTTTGTCTGATATTATTTTGTTTGGGACTCTTTGGATCACTTAGATCAAGATGTTTGGTTTGTTTCCCAGGCATTTGTTTCAACAATCATTTCTTTAAATACATTTTTTTATGCCTTTCTCTTTCTCTCCTTCTGGCACCCCTATGAAATGGATGTTATTTCTTTTTCGGTTATTCCAAAGATCTCTTCCATGATTTCATTTTTTGGTTCTTTTATCTCTCTTGTTCTGTTTGTGTGTTCTCTGACCTTGTGCTTTTGAGCTCACAAATTCTCGTCATTACCTTTGTCTGTCTGCTGTGATTCCCCCTCCTATATTTTAAAATTCACATATATAGACATTTCTTAGACTCATTAGTTCTGATTGTAGTTTCATATTTTCTTTATTCTGTTCCTGTTTTGCATCATTCATTTTTTTTTTAATTCAGCTAGCATTGTTTTAAATATTACCTCAAACTTCTCTTCAGGTCTATTCCATTGTTCTGATGGATTGAGATTTCTCTTGGGGTTATTTTGCTCCAGTGTTTGTGATATAATCTTATGTCTCTTCATTTTTAGGTTTTTTTTTTTTTTTAGGTTCTAATAGGGATAAACTTGCAAACTGCTGCCTTCACACCTGGTACTGGTGAGGGGTAATAAGGAGAAAGGAGCTTGGGCAATAAGGTCGCCCCCAGTGAGCAGCAAGAATCCAAGCTCCCTACTGTACAGTGGGAAGAGAGTTGCATGGTAGAGACCCACACCGATCCCTTCCCCTTAGGCCAACTCATCAACCTAAATGTCTCCTTTAGTATCTTACCAACCTCAAACTCTAGGCTGTGTTTGAGCATTAGATGTATTGGTGGGCACAGATTGCATTTGAGGCGGGGCCACAAGCTGGGAGTTGTTCTCTTTACTTTTCCAGGACAGAGCCCTTCCCTAGGGTGCTTGCTCCTGTTGTAGAGGAGAGGAGCCCTGTATTCTCACTCTGTCAACATCTTGCAGATTCTGTATTTTATTATTAAATAAGTTTTAATTATTAAATTGTGTTTTTGTAAATTTCCAAATTTTTTATCATGAAACTTTATTAATGACAACAGTGAGGATTATTATTAAAAGCGCAAGTAAATAGATGTTAAATTAAACCCCCACATCCTCCACAGATCTCCAATTTATGAAATTGGCGTTGAGAGTAGAAAAGTGAATGGTAGGAGTTTACCTATCTCAGGCATGTGTAGGTTATAAACTGTAATTTTCTTTTCCCCAAACTCACTTCATAAGTCAGGCAAGCCAAGTACTTCAAAGTTACCGAGGGCGTTGTCTCCCCCTGCCCGCCACAGCCCCACCTGAATTAGTCCCTTTCTTGGCATGTATCTAGTACTTCTACCATCTGTCCTTCTTGGTTTGGGCAATTCTCCAATTCTCTGGATATTTCTTTTGAGTAAATAAGCAAGAACTTCCTTGGTTATGTTCTATTTAATAGTTCAGATTCCAATTTTTTGTGAAGCAACTTGGATTATCCTCAGCAAAGACAGGAACATCACGTTTCTTTTCTTCAGGGTAATGGCACCTCTCCTTTAACTTCCAGGACTTCTCGGAACTTGCACAGTCACTATCATGAGGCCCCACTGACCCGGAAGCACTATCAGGTCACTGGCTATGGCAAAGTAAGTTGGCAACTGGAGCATGAGCAGAATGTAAATTGTGGGGCCTGGCCTGGGGCCATGTGGTGAAACACATTCTCCCCAGAATTATGGAATGTTCCTCTGGATTGGAGGCTGTGTGGGGACTCTCGTAACATTTGGGAACTTTTCTGGCTGTGGTTGCTGTGGAAAAAGTAGCTTATGAAGTCTGTCTCCATTTCTTTCCTCCCATAGTAATCATGCCATTTTTAAGTTCTGACACATAATAAATGTCAAATATGGTAAAACCACATTGGTCTTAGAAGCCGCGGACCGGGCCTCCCTGGTGTCCTAGGGGGTAAGTCTCAGCGCTATCACAACCACGGATCCCCGGCCAGGAGGCTAACCCACATGGCGCAGCAGACCTCTTCTATTTTGCCTGCTGTTCCCTTAGCAGTGGATTTCAGTAGATCTGCCTGTTCAGCTTCCCACTCTGTCTCTGGTGAATCTTCTCACCACCACCCCCTCCCCTCTACACCTCTGGCCTATACCCCAGTTCTACGCAAAAATGAATTAAAAAAAAAAAAATCTTAAAAAAAAAAAAAGAAGCCATAGACCTACAGTTGGCTCCAGATGACTATGTTTATCCTTGGCCAGATCCAAATTCTTCTCACTGGCTTTATTTTAAAGGATTATCTCCCTGTTCTGCAGAGGAATATTACCCACATTGCTTTTGGATTTTCACTACCTTTGGATGAGGCAGTTAACAGGGGAAGCTCTATGCATATTTATATGACTTGGGGAGTAAGTTGAAAACAAAAACAATTAGTGGGCAACTAGACTTTATGACTATTGCATCCCCCTCTAGGGGCTTTGGTGTGTCACTAAAGATTCGGGGTTCCTTAAGTTGACTTCCCAGCCCTCTATATTTGCTTGTCCCATCTTGAACCACAACTAACACTCTGAACTTTCTCATATTTTTCTGGTGGGCATCTCCTTAGAAGTGGACACAACTGTTTTATTTCCAAAATACAATATACAGACAGACCTTTCTGACTGAGGTGAGCGAGTGTCCAAGGAAATGAAAGCAAATGGCTCAATCTATTCTCTCAGGGTGATATCTTTAGTTTGGTTTAAGGGCAAAAGTGTTTATTTAGAACTCAAGCTTTAGCCCTTGGAAGTATACAGTTTGACTTCAAATTCCAGGAGTTATGCTACTTTTCTTGTATGTAATATGCTGAAGTAGTGGCCATCACTTAGCATATTTCCATGGCCCTCTTGTTCCCTTTCATATCTTAATCACTAAGGCAAATTTCGTCTTGACTTTGTAACAGTGGTGCCTGAAGTGGTGGCCCTCTTCCTTTTCTGACATGACTTCTCTAAAGTCATCTTACTTTCTTGGTATTTTTTTTCTTGATCAATGTGGCAGAATGGGACAGGAGACTCCAATGATTTCTGGCGGATTGAGGTTGTAAACAGAAAATTTGGAAACCGGATCAAGGTGCTGAGAAGTCGAATCCGCCTCATCCATCTGGTCACGGGCTGTGTCCTGGGCTCCTCAGGAAAGGTCCTGCCCAAGTGGTGAGTCTTCGGTGTTTGAATGTCCCAATAGACGCTCGTACTTTCACACTGCAAGGAGTATACTAGAAGCTTCCATTTAACAATAGTCAATGTTTATCTACATGCTCACTTTTTCTTAGTGGTAGGTGGTGGGAACAAAGGCATCAGGTGTGTTCTGGAACACAGAGCTCCAGAGTGGCTTTGGTGTTCAGTGTTTTCTGACAGTGGAACACTTGTACATCTGGCTTGTGGCAGCTCTGTGGACCTAGGAGTTTTTCTAAAATGGGAATATGTACCCTAGACTACTCGTGAGAGAGTTGCGGGATATAAAAGTGGGAGCTTGAAAAAAGCATTGTCACTGGCTTGAGAAAAAGGGGTTCCACAAATTTAAGAGCAGCTGACAGGGCTATTCTCTGGCCTTATGAGAGACATCTGTGACTGCTTTTCACAGGGGCTGGGAGCAGTTGGAAGTTACTTGCACACCATATCTAAAGGAAACCCTCAGCTCCATCTGGAATGTGGAGGATCATATCAATCCCAAATGTGAGTGAGGTCACTTCTGGGCTGGCTCTGAAGGGAAACATTTATAATGAACTCCTAGAAAAGTGGGCCCTTAGAGACTCTACTGCCACTTCCTCTTATTGTTGCCATATGCTTCCTTTCTTCAGCATAATCTCTTTGATGAGTTATCTAGATAAGTAGCTCCTGTGTCTTCCCAGCCTTAGACTCATCTCCCTGACATAAGCAGTGACCTCACTTGGCACCAGAGTGAGTTGCCATTTTTCATTGTCCTTGCCTTTCACCGTGTTAGCTCTTTCCTTGCCACCTGTAGTGCAGGTCCATCTTCCTCTTCTCCTTCTGGGCTTTTCTATCCACTGCACCATGGACACCTCCCACCCTCAAGACTCAGAGCAGCCAGTTCTTTCCCTTTCTGCCCCTGTGGAGAGTGCCTCCCCTCCCCACATCCAGCAACACTTTTCTGAAAAGTGAGGCCACAGCCCTTGCTCTGTTCCCCTTATCTGTACCCCCAGCTCCAATTCCTCCTTCAGTTTCATCTTCAACTCAGTAAGTTTTTGGATTCATCATTCATCCTAAACTCTGCCCCTTCAAACTTCTGCTTGATTTCTCTTCTCTGTCTTTCCCATTTTATTCTTTTTACCACCAAGTTTAACCAGCCAGTTAATGAGCTCTTCACTGAATATGTCAGGAACTGTGATAAGCCCTGGGATATATTGTTGAATGAGATAGACTTGGCCCCTGTCCTCAAAGACCTTCTGCTTAGCAGGAGAGCGGCACCGAACCAGAACTACAGCAAAGGGCATGGTCTGAGCCCTGGGCCTTGTTAACAATTTGCCTTTGTATTTCTGGAAATCTGACGGGTGGTTAGGACAAGCTGAGTGAAGGATCAAGGACTAAGCCACACTTTCTTCCACCTCCTCAACACGCATCTACTTGTCAGCTCATCAGGAAAGCGGCTCTGGACTCTGGTGGCCATGTGGATATCCGTGGACAGCTGTGAGAGAATATGTGACAAAGATTTTCCTCTTGTCATTTCTTCCTCTAGTGCCAAACATCAGTCTGGACGTGCTGCAGCCCAGTTTTTCTGAGATGTTGCTGGAGTCCCACATGGTGATGATTCGGGTATATGGTGCCTTCCCATTTGGTGGCTTCTCTCAGGGAGCTCTTGATCATCCCCCAAATTTGGCTCACAGACCAGTAGCCATGGTATAGATCCACTGCCCCCTAGTGGAGAACTTTGAAAGTGTAGTCACTTCTGGGTTTACTGGTCTGCAGAGGCATTTCCCTTGTCAGGCAATGGTGGTGGGGGCGGCCATGCTAACAAAGATGATACCTGTCAGCATTATGTAGTTCTTCTGTGCCAGGCCCTGCTCTTAAGCTCTGTGCATATATTAACTAATTTAATACTTAGTGCAAGCATGTGGAGGCTATTGTTCCCTATTTACAGTTGAGGAAATTGGAGGACAGAGAAGTTAAGGAACATGCCCAGGGTCACACAGCTAAGTGTACAAAGTGGATCCAGGCTTCAAAACCAGGCTGACAGCCTTTCAGAGTCAGTGCTAGTTACTACTACATTCCGCTGCCTCGGAGTGATTCTCAAATCTGTTCAAGTGGCAGAGCGCCTGCAAAATCACCATGCTCTTGGTTGAAGATCCTAGGACTTGACCGATCATTCATTCCATCAAATGAATTTGGACCAACTCAGTGAATAGCTAATTTGAGCATGGTGTTTCTGTGCTATATAAAATCCCAACCATGAGCCCTTTCAGTCCCTGGGCATGGTTGACTCTTTTTAAGGTTTTCTAAGACTTATTGTTTGCACTCTCATTAGTAGCTGATGGCGGTCAGCACAGCATCAAGGCCTTAAGGCAACTGAGAGAGGAAATCTTTACATGAGATAATTCTACCTTCTAGCTTACATTTTCCCTGTGCACTGGAGAAACTGCTGCAGCTTTGATGTTTAGGGGGAGACCTCTTTACCCAGGTTTATGGAAAACCAGTGTCTGCAGGAATGATGTTTAAAAATCAGCTGTATCTCGAGCCAGATGTATGATGATCGCTCCACCCACGGGGTGCAGAGAGGTGTAGCAGTTGTTGTTTTTCCCTGGTGAGCCCCTGTCAAGTGGATTTTCTTAGAAGTGATTATATAAGCAGTTCTTAGTAAATATAGTTGACTTATTTCACCAGATTAAATGAAAAATTCAAATTTTGTCATTTCTGCACATTGGGAGGTGATGAGTTGACATTAAGCAATCTTTGGGTCGCTTCTTCTCTGACCCGCATCTTGCAGCTGTCACTGGGGCCTGATGATATATTTCTTTGGAATATGTGCCTGTCAGTCAAAATATCATTCTAGGTCTGGGTAGAATTTTAAGGCTAAGTCAAAATCATTTATTTCTTTCATTGTCTGAGAGGTAGAGTCAAGGAAGAAAAGGGACCTAGAGTACCTTTCTTGTTCAACCAATAGAGTCAGGATGGGGATGGAGCCCAAAAGAGTGGGTCTGGGCTACAGAGACTGAAGGCTCTTCTGCTAGCTGAATGGAGGGCTGAGACTCGGGCAGAGCAGGCCGCCTTGCCTGGGGAGGCTGGCTGCACCGAGCCCACTCTTGATTTTAAGGGTAGAGAACACCATACAAATGCACATGCCTGCAATGGCTACAGATTTCTTCTTTCTTCCATTTCTTGTGTTAGTAAAGGAACTGAATTTCTCACAATTTAATGTAATGACTAAGATGCCCTTAATTTGTTACGGCTCTGGCTGGAATCTCTGCGTTTAGGACTGGACTGTTTGCTTTGAAGGAATTGATTTCTCTTAGAAGCTGCTCCAGGAGTCCAAAATGATTCAGTCTTCATTCTGAGACCTTTCAGATGGCTGGAGTGGCTCAGGGACTGGGACTAGGCTGACCTTTGAGTCTGACACATATGGCGCCCTCCCTGCCTCCCACCTACCCCCCACATACAATTAGCACTTTTTTTTTAGATTTATTTATTTATGCATCCAAGAACTGGGGTGTAGGCCAAGGGGGGGAGGTGAGAGAATTCACTAGAGACAGAATGGGGAACAGAACAGGCAGATCTACTGAAATACACTGCTGAGGGGAGCAGCGGGCGAGACAGGAGAGGTCTGCTGTGCCATGTGGGTCAGCTCCCTGACCAGGGATTGAACTCATGCTGCAGTGGCTGCTGATAGTTTCATTAGTGCTAAGACTTAACCCCTTGTGCCACCAGGGAGGCCACACTTAGCACTTTAGATCCTGGAGGAACCCAGCCACCATGGTGGGGAGGCCTTCAAGTGAGTCCTAACCCCTTGAGCTGGATTAGTAAGATACTGGTTGACAGTTGACTGAACCAGACCTTCCGGATCTTTCTTGGGCTAGGTCGGTGGTTCTCAAAAAGAGGGTGATTTCACCTCTTGGGATATTTGGCAACGTTTAGCGACATTTTTGGCTGGCATAGCTGATGTGTACGGGTGCTCCTGGTGTCTAATGAGTAGAGGCAGGGGATACTAAACACCCTACCCCTTGTGAGAGCATCCTCACATCAGAGACTTCTCCAGCCCCCAGTGTAAGTAGTGCCAAGGTTAAGAACCCTGACCTTGCTCGAGGCCCCTTGCTCCCCCTCAGGAGCAAGACACGGCCTGTGTAGTGTCTCACGGTGAGACCTGCCTGGTGGTTAGTATTGGGATCCTGATCTTTTTCCTTCTTGTTCTAGCAAGGGCCTGATTTGGCTATGCTTGGCTTCTGTGTAAAGTGAGTATGGTTCCTTCAGGCTGCAGTGTGTATTCTCAACCCTCACAACATCGCTTCCAATGATGAAAATGCATTTTGGGAGCACAAAACAATCTCAATTTAAAAAAAAAACAAACAAACAATGTATACAGCAAGGTACTCATACAGTATATAAACAGATTTCAGTATAGCTGTGGTATAAAATGGCATGGAGGGACATTTAGGAAAAAAACTCATAGTAACTTTTTTTAAAAGCTCAGGAACTTACCAGAGTTTCAGGTTCTCTGTCTCGACTTGGCCTTCCAAGGGAACAAATATGTCAGTCCTAATTTTATACCCCTTCCCCCCAGACTCTCTTTATACCTTCTCCTAGACCTGGAAGACGGGGACATATTTTGTCTCCATGGGAAACAAGTCCCTAGTTTCTCTTTCTGTCAAGCACGCAGAGGCTGAATGGACTGTCTGGTAGGAAATGGAGGGAGCTTGTTGGGAGAGCAGGGGCACGGTGACTAACGAGGGAGACAGAGAAGGAGGGTTTCTTTTGCCACTTGACCTTTTATCTGATATGACTGTACCTCGCTTTTCTGTCAGCTTTCTAGATCTGTCTTGACTGACTTTCTTTGCCACTTTCCCACAGGGAAACAATGGCCTCAAACCCAAGGACAACGAGTTCACGTCCAAACCCTGGCACTGGCCTATCAACTATCAGGTAGGGCCCAAGGTTGAGCTCCTCCCAGGAAATGAAGCCCAAGGAGGCTGCCGCGACTCAGTAGAGGTGGGGTGCAAGGATGGCAGCCCGAGGCCTGTGCTAGCATAGGGCTCAGTTTTCTGTTGATTCCACCCAGCCTTTTAGAGAGTGCATGTAGGGCTTGCATGTCCTGTGACTTCTGTGCAGGCTCCCTGTCCGTGAAAGGGGACCAGTCTCCCTGACTTCCCCACTCCCCATGCTGCTGGGGTGAGCTGGGTCCCAGGTCAGCAGGTGTCGTCTACTCCACAGGGCCTGCGCTTCTCAGGGGCCAATGACACAGACTTCCGAGTGTATCTGCTCGGCAACCCGGTGAGTGCCTCGCCCCTTCCAGTTGGTCCCTCCAGCTGCGCCTGTGGAGAGCGCGGCCTTCCTCTCACCCTGCTCTTCTGCTTCCCACGCAGGTGGTTTGGTGGCTGAATCTGTTGAGCATCGCCCTCTACCTCCTCTCAGGGAGCATCCTCAGCATAGCTGTGCAGAGAGGCACACAACTGCCTGCAGAGGTTGAAGGTCAGGGACCTTGGGGGTCTCACTCCCCTGACTCCAGGAGCAGGGGCCCTCCCTTGGGCCAGGCTCTCCTCCGCCACCCACCACCTGTTCCCCTCTCCTTTACTGCTTTAAAGCTCAGTCACCAAATGCGCAGTGGTGTGTTAATCAGGTCACACCCTCTCAACAGCTCTGTAGGGTAGGTCGTTATCACCTCCGTTTTATGGATTAGGAAACTGAGGCACAAAGAGGTGAAGGGAACTTGTCCTGGGACGTGTAACTAGTCAGTGATAGGCATGAGGGTCAAACCCAGGTAGTCTGGCTTTGGAGCCTGCCTTCCCTGTTAATGCCTGTCTCTGTTCAGGGCTGCCCATCTTTTCTGTCCCCCCCGCCCCATGTCCCATGAGCTTGCCCTCTAGAGGGTAGCGGGAACCCTCAGGGCATAGTCTGTGGTGCTGCTCCTGGTCCCTAGCTGCCAGGTGGCCGACCACAGCACCTGAGACCTGCTCACAGGCTCCTGGGTCTCTGCAGCTCCCCACTTGCATGGCCGCAGTCCTAGATCCTTCTTGCCCAGCTCCCTCCTCACTTCTGACCTCACCTCCTCCCTGTCTGCGCTGCAAAGACCTATATGGCAGCAAAGACATGGGAAATGGAGGAAGGGGGAAGCACCCATCTATAGGGGTACAGGACTGCGGTTTCCTGAGAGACCAGGTTGCTTCCTGCTGTGGGGGCTAAGGCCTGTCAAGAGCCAGTTGTTGCTCGTCCTCCAGCTGCTGTCAGGTTGCTCGGGTTGGCTTAGGTGAGGGAAGGGAGGCCCACTAAGGTTACGTGACCTGATCAAATGATGCTGCGAGGAGGGGACAGAGCCTCTGCCCCTTCCCTGCTGCTGACCAGGCTGTGCTGCTTGGGGCCCAGGGCTCTCCCAGGTCCTGCTGCGAGGAGGGGGCCAGCTCCTGCTTGGCTGGATGCTCCATTATTTCCCGTTCTTCCTGATGGGCCGGATCCTCTATTTCCACCACTACTTCCCAGCCATGCTCTTCTCCAGCATGTTGACAGGTCAGTGCTGCCACCTGCCACCTGGGCTGAGTGGGGAGGCCTGGGGACGGCTGGGGTGGAGGCCACCACGGAGCAGCAGTGCTGAGAGCGCTCACCAGTGTCCCTGACCTGGACTGTGGCTCCTTATTCCTGCATCCCCAGAAGTCGCCCCTGCATGCTAGCAGCCTCTTCTTTCACTAGGCATTTTGTGGGACACACTCCTGCGGCTCTGTGCCTGGAGATTGGCCATATGCTCCTTGGCCAAGGGCATCCATGTGCTGGGAATCCTGAGCCTGCTCCTGGGAACTGCCTACAGGTGAGCGTCCCTGCACCTTGTACTGCCACCCTCACAGCCCAGGTACATGTGATACCTCAGCACAAGATGCATTTCAGCATCCCCCGGGCTGCTGTTGAGACGTACTGGTACCTGGACCCCAGCTCCAGAAGTTTCCAACTCAGATGTGACCAGGTGGGGCCTCGTCAGCCAGTTTGCGCAACTCCCCAGGAGACCCTTAGGTGCAGAGGCACGAGGAACATGGACAAACTCTTTGCCTTCTTTCCTTTGCCCCCTCACTGGCACACCTGGAATGGGCTCCATGTTAGTGTCAGTGGCTCCCTACCAGAACACCTCTCAGTGGGGTGAGGGGTGGGAGGGAGGATGGGGTAAGGGTGTGTGTATAGTGTGGTCCTCCCAGTATAACTGACAGGAGGGTTGTCAAAAGCCACCCTCCCTCCCCATCTTCTTGCCAGTGTCACAGAGCCCCTGATGAGAATCACTGGCCTGTTGGGATGGGGAGCCATGTCAGAGTGTGAACAGGGACTGGAGTGTGAGCTGAGAGCACTGTGGGCCAAACAGCCCATGACCAGGCCCCTGGACTGCCCCTCTCCAGGATCTGTTGGGGGGACCCCTTTCCTTCGTTGTCATGAACCAGCATCCTCTTAGCACGCGAGCTGCCGTGTGCCCAAAGCAGACTGGGCATGAAAGGGAAGGGTCTTGTAGATAGAAGAGATTGAATGTGCAAGAGGAGCTGAATCTCAGGGATCTGTAAGGCCCTCACAGGTGCCAGCTGGGATGCCAACTGCTTCCCTCTGGATTGTCTCTCAACAGCTTCTACCTCTTCCACCCTCTGGCTTACGGGATGGTTGGTCCCCTCGCCCATGATCCCCGAAGTCCCATGGCAGGACTCAGGTGGCTGGAATCATGGGACTTTTGAGACTACTGCGAGGACTCCAGCTGAGTCCAGGAGATTCCCTGGGACAGCCAGCTGTGGAACCAGCCCCTGGACCCTCCCAGCTGCGGAGGAAGCTTCCCGAGGGGCTGAGGAATTCTGCCCATCAGGATGGAGCTCTGGGCGCATGCCTGGAACTTAACCCAACACCAGAGAGCCATGGTTTTGCCTGCAGATTCCATCACCGAGGTGGCTCAGCGTCAGAGGACAACATCTCTCAGGCCCGTTTCCCCGAGGAAGAATGAGTGTGCAAGAGGGTGGGTGTGAGCGTGTGTGTGTGCATGCATGTGTGCCCTTATCCCTGGGGATACAGACCTTGACTGTGGACAGCTGAGTGTCATAAACTCTAAGATTTAGTCCAGGGCTACCGTAGTATTTTCTGGTATTTTTTTCACACTGGATTTGGTTTGTAAGCAAAACGCATCAAAAGTTCTCTACCCTCCAAGAGGGCTGAGAGTGCTGACTCACCTTGGGACACCACCGGGGCTGAGCAGATGGGACCATCCGACCCACACTGCCCTTCTACAGACGAGCACAGCAGAGCCCCAGAGCCCGGAGCGTGGCCGCCCCAGTGCCTCTGCTGCTGCCCCTGCGGTGGCTTCCTCTGTGGAAGCAGGTGGCTGCCCTGTGGATGGGGCACCAGGCCTCAGAGCCAGGGGCCGAGAACGCCTCAGCTCTTGGTTGGCTCTCCTCAGCCCCAGGGGCCCCGCCCGCCCTCAGAGGATGTCCTGCCATGAGGCTGGTGGGAGCAACACCTGTCTTCACCTGCTGTGTTCCCAGGCCCTGCGGGTCAGAGGCACTATCTCTTGAACTATCCTCCCCCTGCAGCCAACCTAGCTTTGAGGGCAGGAGAGATGCCTTCTCCTGATTCCTGGGAGAGCCTTGGGATGGGGGAGGCTCTCTTGGCAGCTGAGGAAGACATGAGGCAGAGCAGGAATCTGTGTGGTGCTGGGCTGAGAGGGTCCTGGGTGTGGGCTGCTCCAGCCCCCGTGGGCTGATGTCCATGTTACTAGCTGGGCATTCCCTGCTGACACCCCTTTCACTCCATTTCATTTCCCCTTCTCTGTGTCATTGTTTCACCAGTCTTTTTCCACCAAAACCCGGAGCACGTAAAGGTACATTCCAGCTTCTCTCTATGGCTTCGACGCCCAAGCAAGAAGCTCAGAGCTGTTCCTTTCACTTCCTCCCCAAATGAAAAGGAATAGAAAACCCTCAGGGCAGAACCAAACCAAACCAAGGCCAGCCCTTCTGCTCCTCTCCCTCCTCCTGGTATATGACAAAATATTTTGTCTCTGGGGACTCTGATGCTTCAAGGTCTAATGATGACTCTCTGCCACACTCCGTCTTCCCTCCTCTGTAGTCCCCTCTAGCTCAGGCGGGGTCAGAGCTCTTTAGAGCATCTCTGGGAGACGGTTGCCACGGAGACTGGAAATTGGTCCCAGGGACTGGCTGTGCTACCCACTGGGTGGTGGGGAGGGAAGCTTCTGGCCATGCTTGGACGTTCAGACAAGACATCATTAATGTTAATAGAGGAAATGCAGCAATGTCAAGAGCAAGGCTAGTTTGTTAATTAGATCTGGGGCCTGATGACCTCCCTCTCTCAGGGCTACGGCCCCTTTGCCTTCCCCCAGCAGGAAGCACTGCCTGTGTGCTGAATCTGGGCAGCTCCCTTAATTGCATTTCTGGAAGGGAAGGCGGGCAAGGGGTGGAGAGCCCCTGCTTGCCCCTTGCACCCACCTCCATCCCTCCCCCCCCCCCCATTGAGTGTGGGCTGCTTCTGAGCTGGAGGAGGCCGCTGTGGTGGGGCTCTACTGGAGGTAGGGTGCAGAATCCATGCTGGGCTCTTAGCAGAAAACAGTGGCCCCCCAATGCCAACCAGGAGGTAATTGATGTTCCGCACATCTTCTTAATCTCCTAGCAGGAGCAGCTTGAAGGGGGGGGGGCGGGGGAAGCCACTCTAGTAGGGTGAGCAAGGAAAAGCCATCCAGCAACCTGTCATCCCCCTTAATCTGTCCATACTGACGACAAAGGATCCCTCATCTCCCCCCACCATCCCCGTTGCTTTCTGAGGAGAAGAGACGCCTTCTCTGCCTACTCCCTCCTTGTCCTCGCCCAGACAGGGGAGGAGGGGCACAAGCCACACCGGCTGGCTTGTCTGGGGACAAGCCACATGGCTTGATGCAGCTTCAAGGGCTCCAGCTGTGTTGTTGGAAGGTGCTGGGGATCGGGGTTCCAGGATGGCACTCTGAATATGGACGCCGGCCCCCAGGAACTGGCAGAAATGCGACATCCCTCACTCACATGCTAGTGGAGAAGACATCTGTAGTTGGCCCAACCTCCAGCCAGCTTCTTGAGCCACCTCATATATATATATATGTTTCTAGAGATAATCCGAGGCCATTTACTTTTGTAATAAATAGCTCATTTTGACTGCTCTGTCGTTCTTGTACTTAATTGGATCTGACTTGCCCTTGGATTCCCAGAGAGAAGAGAATGTTTGGAGTGAAGAACAATTGCACGTTGCTCATGTCTGAGGCCTTTCTAGTGACAGCAGAGGCTCTGGCTGGGCAGGTGAGCCCCGTGCCTGCGGGGGCCTCTGGACCTTTGGAGTAGTGTTACTCAACGCTTTGAGTAGTGCTGACTGTATTTGGATTTATTTATCCATTCCATAATAAGTAGAACACTGGGCCTTATTTTTTCTCTTTCAAGCTGCCCACACAGCATGGAAAGGCGGGAGGACTCTGTAGCTGCTTCCCTCCTGCCCAACAGGGGCTCCATCTGGTGGGGGTCGTCTGGGTCCAGAGGAGGCGAGGCTGAGGCGAGTGTGGGGTGGTAGTGAGGGCGGGCAGCAGCTCTGTGTTGTGAAGCTGGGTCTTCTGAGTGGCCTGACTCCCCCTCCCTCTTACGACCAAGCGTTGCTGGAGGCGGGGGTTAGGGGGGCAGGCAGAGCCTCAGGAGATGGGACATGCTAAGGATGGGCAGGTGGAAAAGGACCAGTCACTGCTTGGCTTGCCGGGTGCATTTATCAAGTCCCCACTCTGCTGTGACGCGGACTGCGTGCAGCAGGGAACTCAGCGCTGGTTTGGTCCCTTTTCTACCCAGGAGAGGTTCATTACTTGCCCAGAGATGTGTGGGGAGGTGAGGAAGAGAGTTAGTAAATAGCAGAGCCAGAACTGGGTGCCAAGTTGGGCTTTATCTGTTTATCCTGGGACTAGACACCTTCCCAGAACAATGCACAGCCCTGGACCCACTGGGGAGAAGGCCTGGCCAAGGTGTCCAGACCCAGCACGTAAACTTTCCATTCTCAAACTGTTAACAGCTCATCGAGGGCCAGATGTTTCCTGGTACATCTGGACCAGTGGTTTGTTGGGAGGTAAAAAGTCCTGAGTTTTAACATTTGCCAATTTCCATGGTGTAAATTCTCCCCTATCTCAAGCTACCAACCTGATGTCACAGATTGGGAAGTTGGAAGGATGCACACAGTTGGCTCTTAAAAACCATCTAAGATTTGCCTCCAACACCCTGGTGACCTTGGCTTAGTCTGGACTGTGGACACAGGACTTGGTCACAGTCCATTAAAGAGGTGAGGGAGGCAGTGGAGCATGGAGGCCTAGAGGCTGGGCCAGAATCTGATCTCAATTACACCATATCCTGGCCCCACCACTTATTAATTGTGTGAACCTTAGGCTACTAACTTAACCTCTTTGCCGCCTTTTCCTCAGCTGCAAAATGTGGGTACAGTAAATAGCATTTGCTTCAGTGAGTTATTAAAAGGATGAAAAAGGTTAATGAGGCAAAGTATCTTACAGTGTCTGGACATGAATGCCCAATAAATATTGATGATAAATCCATCTCAATGACATACTAGCTCTAGAATCCTGTTGAACTCTCCTAGATTAGAGTTTCCTGTTCAAGTCATGGGCAAATGCCAGGCAAGGTAGGCAATGCCTGTGACATTTCCCCAGCTCCTCGAATGTGGATTCAGACCCTGGGTGCCCTGGTTGGACCACAGCACCCCGGCTGCTTGGATGCAGCCAGCCTGTCAGGCCTCTTGTCTCAAGAGAGCAGAGATTAGAGAGCACTTAGCCTCTCCTGGCTCATCCACTTACCAGTTAAGAGCATTTTCACACCCCAGACTCTATAAAGGAGAAAGGAGGCAAAAAGCATCATGAGGGTAGCCTGTTGCCTGGAAGCACAGCCTGAGGTTAGCCAGGTGGCTGGCACAGAACACCAGGTGCCTGGCTCTGAAAGGTAAAGGTCACTGGAGACACGTGGTCTTCTCCTGGGGCCTGCCACCTGGCTGCTCACCTGGCTGCCGAGTTCCCTGAGTACTCGCCCACTCTTGTCACCCCTGGTCCCTTTGAGCTCTTGCCTGGCAAGACATAAGCCAGACTGCCTTAGCGTCTTGCTGACCTGCTGCAAACCAGAGACCCTGCCGATGTGTGGGGAGGTGAGGCAGGGAGGAATAGGGTATATTCCAAACTCCCAAGTCCTTGGAAGAGCAGTTAGATGGTTTCACTGTACTTGGCTGGGAGCAGGAAAGCGTTTTAATGAGGCCCCAGTCCTGAGTCAGGGTCAGAAGAAGTTCTAGAAGGCAAGGACTCAACACTCCATGCCTCGCACAGAGCTCAGTGACCCAAATGCATCCATCTTGTATCTGTGGAACCAAAGGAGGTGGACTGAGAGGCCCAACCCTCTTTCCATGCAGCTGTGGAAACCACAGACTGCAAGGAGCTAGGCTCAGGGACTCTAGAGACAAGAGGAGCTGGGGAAATGTCACAGGCATTGCCATCCTTGCCTGGCATCTGCCCTTGACTTGAACAGGAAACTCTAATCCAGGGAGACAAGATACATGCGGGTGAAAATGGATTTGTCCTGCCAAGCCTGGGCTTCTAGAACTTGGCTGGGTCCTGAGAAACTTTTGTGCTTGAAAAAGAAAAGTTTGGGCCTACTTGGTCTAAACTCACACTGAATGGCAAGCATGAAATTCGGCCGCCTGCTCATCTGTCTAAAGACACAAATAATGCTTCTATGAAAAGTTTTTTTTTAAGATTGATTTATTTATTTATACAAGCACTGGGTACAGTCAGAAGCGCGGGAGGGTGAGAGAATTCACCAGAGCCAGAGCAGGGAACAGAACAGGCAGACTGATGAAATACACTGCTGAGGGGAGCAGCGGGCGGCAGGAGAGGTCTGTGAACCATGTGGGACCCTCGCCGGCAGCCGGCGATCGAACCGGCGCTGCAGAGGGTGCGGGCAGCTTCGCAGCCCAGCGCTCAACCGCTGCGCCCCCGGGGAGGCCCATTCTGTGTAAAGTTTTAGAAGAAAGCCTGTTGGAACTCCAGGAGCAGTAGAAGTTTGGGGCTTGACACCCAGGTGTGCAGATCGTGCCAAGCTCACAGCCGCTGTGGACTCCCTACCCTGGTCAGGCAGAACTGAGCTTGGGGCTGAGCAGCCAGACTTCCCAAGACGAGCCTACAGAAAACTCAGGCTGGTGGCCAGTGGCTGGCTTCTTGGCCTGTCTCTAAGAGGACCCTGTGACCCCCAAATGGGCTGGTGCCCCAGGCACAGACACAGCCAGGCAGAGTGCCCCAGCCTCAGCCTGGGCACACAGCCTGGCAGCCCCTGCTCCGAGTTCGGGGCGGAAGGAGAGACCCGTGCCAAGGGCCGGCAAATTCAGAGGCCTGGGGCCGCCCTTGAGTGTTGCTGGTGGCCAGGAGCGAGCCCGGGACGATCCCAGGCAGCACGGGGCCCCCACGACGAAGTGATGATATTATCTCCAGTTTCCAGGGGAGAAACCGAGGCTTACGGATGCTCGAGGATTTCTGTTGAGCGCCGCGCCCGGGGTGTTTCTCAGGCCTGGGGGGTCCGGGGTGAGAGGAGTAGCCCCGAGACGCGCCTCCTGAAGCACGGGATGGGGGCGGGGGCAGCGTGGCTTGAAAACTCCCCAACCCGGTGGCGCGGGGCGGGGCGGGGCGCTCTCGCAGCCTGGGGCGCAGGGCACCGCGGCCGGAGCAGGGTCCCTGGAAGCGCCACGGGGGCCGGCAAGGCGGGGGCGCCTCCACCCAGGGCGGGCGGCACGTCTCCCCTCCCTCCCGCCGGCGAGGAGCGGGGGCTGCACCCCGCCCCGCAGAGGCGCCGGGGGCGCGAGGGGGTGCGGAGCGGCCGGGGTCGCCGCAGAGATGGCTCGGCACGTGCGCTGACGGCGCCCGCGCCCGAGGGTCCCCGCCTCGCGCCCCGCGTCCCCCGGCGAGCATGGAGGGCCCGGAGCCCGAGCTGATCCGGCAGAGCTGGCGCGCGGTGAGCCGCAGCCCGCTGGAGCACGGCGCCGTCCTGTTCGCCAGGTGAGCGCGGCCGGGCCCCTCGGGGTGCGGGCGGCGGGCTGCTTCGCCAGGTATGGGCTGGAGGTGTCTGGGTCAGAGACAGAGGGGCGAACGCGGGCCCACTGCCTCGGCGCCGGGACACCCCAGAGGTGCGCCAGCGGAGCGGGGCGCAGGAAGGATCGCGAACCCCCTCTGCTCTCCCCTCCGCGGTGGGCGCCTCTTGGCGAGCCACGCCGCGCGCCCCATCCCAGCTGGGTCTGCCGGGCGCAGGGGGCGTCCTCTCTGAGGAGCTTCGTACCCTCGGGGCTGCAGACTCGGATTCCCGCGCTGCGCCCCCGCCGGGCTCACTGCCCCCTGAGCGTTCCTTTCCTTGGGTGTTTACTGCTGGGGTGCCCACAGCTGACAGCCTGGGGAGACTGCCCCGAGGG